CAGATGCCCCATCCTTCATGCTCCTGTTCAGACGGTTTTGGAGGATCTTGAAAGGTGGTTCTTGTGAAGGGGGTAAATCAACTGTTGCTTTAGTTTCTAGTGCAGGAATTGCAGGCAACTGGATAATTTCATTGTAAATGGAACTGTAAAGTTAAAAGCTGCTCAGCATAAACATTGAACTCCAGTTATGTGTACAAATTTCTTTAATCCTATACGAAATTTTCAGGAACAGGAAATTCCTAGAAAATAATCAAAATATGCATAGAAGTTTTAAAAAAAATCATTGTATAATTTCTGCTTATGAAACAAATTAATTATAATTCAATTTGAAGTATTGCTTTTTTTCTACTACTTTTATTCTACAATGGATATTAAAATGGGTATTACTCAGTGCGGTGCACAATTACTTAATGATACACTAAGCAAGCTACAATTACTCTCCTAAATATTTTCCTATGTGCAGTAGTATCTGGTTTTAGCTGCAAGGTAGATCATAGTCTGGAAGCTGGGGAAAATAAAAGGAGAAAAATGGAAACTTGTACATTTAGGACAAAGTTAAAATAATATGGAGGGAAGATGAATCTCCAGGGATCTGCTAGGAAATGAAAGTTAAAGTCATCTGGTTCCTTGTGCTCTGGAGATGTTGATTTATGTCACGACCAGTGAGGTTGACAAGTGCAAACTTTTGCAATAGCAAAAGATTTCCTGGAAGGTCAGTGTGTTCTCTTTATTGTGAAATGGAAGGCAAGAAGAGTTAAAATAAAACCAGAGGGAGAGAAAAAGGACTTTTCCATGCTGGAGATAGGAGCTAGGTAGTCCCTGGCCTGTTCCTAGTGAGCCTCCAGCGCATGGCTCTGCCCTGGATATTGTTGGAATGTCTTTGAGAAGGAGGTCCTGAGCTTGGTTTTATGGATTAGATAATTCCTTGTCCAAGACCAAGGGGAGAGGAAGGAAGAGCCTGGGAGTGGAGTCTGATGTCACTCACAGTTCCTGTAGGACAGAGGATGCCTCAACTTGGGGTGTCTCATAGTGTCCAGTGCTGTCCTTTTCTTATGCATTAAATCACATCAAGTTTCAAGTTCAGGGTCTGCAGGAAGAGTCAGGAAATACCTGTGTGTGCCCAGAAAGAGCAATGGAACCATCTGGCTCCAGCTGGTGTCCTAAAGGCATCGTTGAAAATTTAGCCCGCTGGAGTTTCACAGGCAAACAGAAAATCCTGCAGGATTCAGTTTTTGGTGCCTGGGGATGTGCTTCCATGATTCATTCTGTGTCTGAGCTGCAGATAAACACATTCAGGCTTCTGTATGGAAAAATAGCTGGTTTTCTCCTGGCATTTCTTCAAGGGCTGTGTATTGAAACTCTGTTCCCAGAGGCTGTTTCATATTCTCTCTGCCACTGGAACAGCACTGCACCCTCTGCTCCTGCTGCAAAGACTTGGGATGCCTGGAATCAATGAGCTATAATCAGTGTGGGCAAGCAAGAAAGTGTGGGGCTTTTATCATCTTCTGTGGCCACCAGCCTGTGGTCCTCTTGTTGGGCTTCTCTCAGCAAAACAAGAAACTGGGGGAAAAAGAGAGGAATTTTCTCACATGCAATGCACACGTGTCTGCAAAATCCCAAGACGGCCTCATTTCAAATTTCTCCATACTGGTACATTCCCCAGCTCCTGATGCTCAGGTGCTTTTATAAAGACAATTTCCTCTCCACCTCTCACTGTCTGTAAATACAAGCAGAATTCAGGTGTTGAGGAGGGATCCCAGTACTCAGTGTTGGGCTGTGGATAGTGGGGTTTGTGTTTTGAGTATCTGTGGACCACCCAGTTCCCTGAGAGCATGCAGTAAACCTCCCTCAAAGCCTGTCTGGGCTCATTTTGGCCTAGGGAATATTGTATATAGTAGTGGTTTCCTTTGTTTTTGTTTTGATGGTGATTATTATTTTTCCTGAATTAGGGCTACTGAGATAAATATTTAATTTCTAATGTTTTATTTTGTACATAATCAAGTATATCTGAAGAAGCACCTTAAACCTTAGTGTTACTCTCTCATTACTTTTTTTAATAGAGAAAAGCAGACATTTTCAATACTTGGCAAAGCCACAGGGCTGAGGAGAGAGCTGGCTGGGAAATTGGAAAAATGCTCAAATCTTTTTTGAAAAAATGCCAATGTCTATAATGCATTTTCAGTGAATGACTCAATTGGTTCTATTAAAGGAAAAATATATAATGTTAATTCAGCCTAATATGGCTTATTCAACAGACAACTTGAACCTCTTCCTATTTTGCTTTCTTACTGCTAATTATTGAATGGGATGTTTAATTATTCATTTCCAGTAGTGGATAGCAGTATAAATCAGGAGCAGTTCCTTTGATTTTGATGGTGATTTGTTTAAAATTAAGAAGGGTCAGACTCTTCTTAAGGGGGAAGGAAGGAGGTGCAAGTCAGTTAGAAGGAGACAGAATTTGATTTTGTATCAGAAACAGGTCATTCCTTTATTTGTGTGGACTTGAGAACATTTGCATTTTTCCTTCTATGTGTGTTCAGCCTCAACCTCTAGATATAATAAAATATAGGAAGGTGTGGTGCAAATTTATTCTGCTTTGTCTGGAGAGAAAAGAATAACAGCATGGTATTTATTGACTTTACAGTCATCAAGTGGTATTTATTGACTTTACAGCTCTTTTAAGACTAAAAAAAAAAAAAATTCTGTGGTTAAGTTTAGATGCTAAGGTTAGATGCCACACAGCCTTTCTGAGAACAGGGAGTGTCCTCTGTTGAAAGAATCAGAACATGACCCACTGTCCATGCAACAGTTAAAATGCAACATCCTTGTGTTACTTTGGAAAGCAAAAAACACATTGTTCTGAAGTTTTGCTTACAAATCCTTTTTCAGATTTAAGATTGCTTCTCTTTTCCTTGCTGCCTCTCATTTAATATGGATGTATTGTATGTAAAAGGGAGAAAATGGATATACAGGTGTGTGTGGAGCAGAAGTGCAGGGAAGACTGGGATCTTAGATGTGTGTACATAAAGGGGTGTGATGGGGTCTTGAGTGAATTATGTGTATAATCCAGTCAGGGAGTAAGACCTACAAAGTGCTACATCATCCCTAGGAAAAATAGCCTGCAAAATTCCATGGAGGTGGGAGGGACATCCAGGTGGGTGGGACATGCGCTGAGGTCACCCCGAGACCTGACTCTGGTAGAGCTCAACATCTCCTTCACCTCTCCTGGGAAACTCCTGCTCATTTTCCCCCTCTCAGAACTTCTCTGCTCCTTCCCTGTCTCTGTCAGCAAGAGCTGCTGACCAGGGAAGGTCATGGCATCCCCTCCACTGGAGGATTTTAAGGGCACAGAGTTGGATTAGGACCTCTGAGACGGTAGTTGAGCCTAACTTGGCGCAGCAGGCAGGGACTAGCTGAGCTGTCAAAGGCCCTCCCAACCCCATTTTGTCATCGCACAAGTATGGAGGAGGACAAAGCCTGAGGAAGAAGAATGTGCTGTAGCAAGGAGCTGCCAGGTGTGGGGGAGTGCAGGGTTGCCTGTGTGGTGTGGAGAGCAGGAGGTGCTGGCAGGAGCCCCTCGGGTGACAGGCAGGGGACGCAGCCAGAGCGGGGAGGAGCCAGCCAAGGACTGCAGTAACACATTCCATGATCTCAGGGAGAGAGGAAACAAGGACGTGGGTCATTCGTCAAAGCAGCACGTCAAGTCAAGGGTAGGAGAGGCTTGGTTTTAATTTATTTTAGAAAATAAATAATAAGAAGGCAAAACCAGTGCATTTCATAGCATAGGAGGAAGGAGAACGTTGAGGGGATGGGAATACATCAAGGGGATGCAAAAATAGAGCAGGATCATGGAGGAGATTTGAACATAGGTCAGGCACTAAAAGTAAATAGTAAAACTTTGCTATTTGAAAGGTAGGAAAGGAAATTATTTCAGGAGATAAAAGGAAAGCCAGAGAGAGGGTAGGAGAAATACTTGACATAAAAAATCAGGCTGAGTTATCCATTTCAGTAGCTTTCTTTTAGCTGCAACTTAACATGTGAGATCCTGTGTGTTGAGACAGGTCAGGAGGGGAAGTAACTTCTGGGTTTTGTGGTGTGGGACAGGTGAGATTTGCATGCATTTGACAGTAAGGAAAGGCATTTGGCCCAAAAAAATGGCAGAGACAGTAAAAGGGCTTCCAGAGTCTGCCAGCTGCAGACAAAAGTGATTGGAAGTGAATATTGGATGAGCCAAGGATTGTGGATAGTCCAGCAGACTTCTGAGTCAAAATGTTGGACAGCACAACCCAAGTGAGGAAGATGAAAGCACAGGCAGAGGGAGGAGGAGGCTGAGAACAGATCAGTCATCCTTGCTGAAAGACTGGGAGTCATGGAAAGGGTGAAGGACGGGGTGAGGTGATAAGGGCTGATGTTGAAATAAACCATGTGATGTGTCTTAGTGTTAAAATGGGCGTTTCTATCATCGTCATTTCAGTTAATGCAGGCCCAAAGTGCTTCTGGTTCTCACCATGACTTGGGCACTTCCCAAGCCCTCTATTCCACATCACCAGAGCACTTTGCTATCTCTGAGCTAATTATCTGTACAGCAGTATGGGTGGTAAGGAATTTCTATTCTGTAGGTAGTGAACTGAGGCATAAAGCAGAAGAATATATCCCTGCAGTCCCACTACAAGTGGAGGTGGGACTTGAAGCCAAGGTTATCCAGTTCTCTACTAGTAGCTTAAACACTGACTCATCCTCCCTCTGATCTCCTTCCTTGAGCAGGAGCCACCTTCAAATCAAACTTTCCATGGAGAAATAAAGGGTTTTGGCATATTCTAATGGTTTGTTTAGCGATGCAGAAATAAAATCATATGTTACTTTTGACATTTTTATTATTGGGAAAAAATTAAGCCATAACTCTGTATCTGCTGGTTGATGCAGAGGGATATTGGAGAAGAGACTAACAGGGGTGCTGGTGAGAGTGGCCTTTCTCTGATGTGCTGTGATGTGTTTTGCAGATAAACCGTGGGAGCTGGTGTCCGCTGGAGCCATGTCCTGACCCCTCCCTGCTGGAGCGCAAGCGCACGCGGGAGTCTCCAGGTGAGCCACACCAGCAGCCCTCCTTCAAACCTTTTCTATCCTCCTTTTCTCCCTGTCCTCCTCACCTTTTCTATCCTCCTTTTCTCCCTGTCCTCCAAACCTTTTCTATCCTCCTTTTCTCCCTGTCCTCCTCACCTTTTCTATCCTCCTTTTCTCCCTGTCCTCCTCACCTTTTCTATCCTCCTTTTCTCCCTGTCCTCCTCACCTTTTCTATCCTCCTTTTCTCCCTGTCCTCCTCACCTTTTCTATCCTCCTTTTCTCTCTGTCCTCCTCCTCACCTTTTCTATCCTCCTTTTCTCTCTGTCCTCCTCACCTTTTCTATCCTCCTTTTCCCCCTGTTTTTGACATCTTGGCCTGGATGGGGAAAACACATAAATTAAAGAAACTGTGTAATGACTATGCTGTGAGTCACTGTTAGCACATGGCTGCAGCACTTGACTAGCAGGGAGCAGTGTAGTGTGTCACCATCTCAAATAACTCTGCATTTCAAGTGCTTCAGTATTTTGATTTTTCCCCCTCCTTTTCTTTTTCTAAATAAACTTAAAGATGTTGCAAGCAGCACACAGACATGATTTCTAGCTAAAAGAATAATTTCATAAAAGAAAAAAGCCAGAAATTTGAACTCCTAAAACCACAGTTAAACCCAAATGAGTGGCTTGAGATTTTTTTACTTTTTTTTTCCCCCTGCTCTGAAAGTTGCCATGATTCCAGGCTCAGGAAGCAGGAAGGCTGTTCAGAGCCATGGTTCCCACACCCTGCCCACCAGCTGTGCCAAGCTCCCATCCCAGCCCTGCGTGCTGGCTGGTGCTTTCTGGCTCTTCCACTGGGACAGAAAATCTAGTCTGGGCAAGCTTCAAAGAAGGGTTGGTGTCCAAGATAAGAAAAAAAGCATTTCCTTTCACTGGATTATGCGTGTTTGAAACAAATAGAGTAATTTATCAGGGCCCTGAATAGGGACTTTGCTTAGGCTGCTCATGGAGAGGAGGCTTCTTGCCCTGCTGTCCTTATGAGCCGTGGTCTCACTCAAATCTCCTTCAATTTATCTGAGACTTGAAAGAAAATGACCGAGTGTCAGTGTGAAATTTAAACTCAGTCTTTCAGGCTGTAGGCTAAGAAGGGATAGTGTGGGTTAGTGATAAGTACTTTTTTATTAAAAACAAAAACACAGAAATGGCAACCTTTTTTAGAAAAATCATTAACAGCAATAGCTGTTTCAGGAGTGTTTTTACAAGAGAACCTGTGGTAGTGCTATGTCTCTTCTTTACCAATTGTATCTATGAATCCTTTGCCTCTTGGTACTGTATTTTTATGCTTCAGGCAACAGATACTGCAAACCATTTGTCTGCTAAACTACATGGACTCATTTGAGTTGCTAAATATATAATCACATATTCCTATGGATCACTATCAGTTGCACATCTATTAATTATCTAATGCAATATTACACTATAGAAACATAATACTAACTATGTAATTAGGTAGCTGTATCTACAAATTTATATTAATAATTACAGTAATACATGTCTGTAACACACGTATAAAGAGATAGTTTTTTTAAGTAAATGTGCTCTCCAGATGGACTGAAGCAGCAGAAGGATCTCAGGTTATGCAGGTTCTGGCCTTTCTAGAAATAATTTTGTTACTGCACAGGCATCCTCCTGCTGCTCTGTGGTGCTGGGCAGTGTAGAGAGGGCAAGAAAAATCTGGCAATACTTAACAGCAATAAAACCACAAGCTGCCAAAGTGGCTAACTTAAAAAAACAGTACTTGATAAGGAATTAGACCTTTTAATGAAATGACTGAAATGACTTTAACGGACAGAGACTTCAGATCTTAGAAGGTAACTCCAGAAATTGGAGCTTCTCATTTTCTGTCTATGTTTTTGAAATTAGGTGTGCAGAGGAGTGTAGCAGATACATAGTTATCAGCATGGAATTGAAGGGCTCACCCCTGGCTTGGGAGACACAAGAGTTTGGAAAATGTACAGAAGATATTGCTTGGAAATGTTCTTCCTAGAGCTTTTTTCTCTGTATTTTTCTTTGCCTTTATATTATGCACAGAAGTGTTGCCAAGGGTGTGAGACACAGAGCCTGGCTTTGTGCAGCGTCTGTGCAATTAAAAACAAACCCAGCAAACGGAGAAAAGGGGAGGGAGAAAATGGAGAAAATATGCACACCTCCAACCAAAAGTAAATGAGAGTGTAGGGAAGAGAGGGCTTGGGAATGAATTTCTCTGCACAAATGAGCTGAGGTATGTGGAGGGGTCCCTATCACTGTGCTCCTCATCCTTCTTCCTCTCTGCTTCATCTCCTCCTCATGGGGAGCTTTGCTGCCTCTCATGCTTTATCCTCAGGCTGAGGTATCCATCCACATCTGAGCTGTCCCCACTGATTTTCCAGTGGAACGTGGCTGGAGCCCCTTTGTTTTTCAGTCTGGGCTGTGGACATGCTGTGCTGGCTGCCAGCTGGATGAACAGCACCTGGCCCATGTCCCCACAGCCGCTCCGTCTCTTCTTTCCCTTCATTCTCCCCCTCTTCTCTCCCCTCCCTTCTCCCCCTCGGTGATGGAAAAGCAGTTCAGATTTTCCAGGTTTACTGAAAGGGGAACAGGAGCAGCTGCAGCATCCAATAAGTGCTTTTCCAACTCTCCACAGTGTGGAAATTCCTCTATGGGGTAATGGGGTTTCTGACTGGCTTCAACTCCCCCTGCCCTAAATGGAGTCATCCCCACCACTATCAAAGTAATTCTGTTTTCTCCAGAAGTGGAGTCACTGCCATCACTTGGGATGTGGCCAAGGTGTTTCATAGCTGTTGTCAGGCACAGATTAAGGATGGGGAAGGCAAAAAGGTGACCTTAAGCTACCAAACCTGTCATCCTTTCAGTGATGTTTAAGCTTGATGTCACCAAGGATGGAGTTAGTGAGGTATAATTTAAGACTGAACTAATATTTTATTGCCCTGGTTCCTCTCCAGACAGCTGAGCACATTTTGGATCTGTTTAGTTAGAGGAGGTGCAAAATAACACCTTTCTTAAAAAAAAAACCAAACACCAAATTAACTAATAAATACAAAAATATTTTTTGAACTGGGAAATTTGAGTGTTCAATTTTTGCCAAAATTATAATTTATACTTTTGCCTGAAGGGTGAACAAATAAAATATGTACAGGCATTTCTTAGGCAAATACATGTCTGTTAAAGGTTTTGGAAAGAGGGCTTTTGCAGGGGCTGCAGTCTAGTTCTGTACTCCTGATTAACCCAGTGCAGACAGCTGGAAGCACTTGAGAAAAAAAGAGATGCAACATGCTTATATTTCAATGTCAGGAGTTACAAAAGCTGAGAGGTTTTTAAAAAAAATCACTTTATTTTTGAATCTTGAAAAAGTAAAGCTTGTAATGGAATTCACACTAGTGCTTTTTCAGTAAGGAGTGTAGAAGAAGAAATTAAATAATTGTCCAAATATGCACTAAAAGCACCTTGGCGTTTAGAGGGAATTGATTCTTTGAGAAGGCAAGCAAATATTGACAAGTTATATTTTTATATTTATTGAATATGAATCTAATTTTGCATTTGTTGAAATCAGTAGGAAACATCCCACATGCACTGTTATGGGATACCTCATATGTAGTATATTTATCAGCACCTCAAGCTACAAGTGTTTTCAGCTGTTTCATGCAGATTTCAGTTTGCACCATGTACTTCAATGATGCATTTAAAAAAGAGTTTTAAACTCTGGAATAAATCATTTGAGAATTCACAGGCAGTTTTGAGAGATGAACAAATGTATATGCTTTATTTTTAAAGCTGTGTGTTTTAAATCCTGGAATTCACTGAGGGAATGGGAGTCTGATGGTTTTACCAGTACTGAATCCAGGAGTAGAAATGCAAGTTACAGATATTTTTAATGACCACCAAAATAAATGTGTGGATGCTGCAGAAAGCCTCAGGTTGTGACTCTTTGTACTTTGCTCCTGCAGAATGTGAGAACTTCTTGGAGGATGGGCTGAGCAGTGTCTGTGCCTCGTCACAGGGTGCTCTTAAAAGAGAGTCTGGGAGTGAGTCTGACCTTTTCCCCTTGCCTGGTGATGGGATGGAAGACCTTGTCTTTGGGAAGGTAAGAAAGCCTGGCTGGGATATGGTTAAAAAAGCCCCTGATAAACCCATGCAGCACACACAGATCATCTTGGTTTCTATGGTGAGTTGGAAAGCTGGAAGTGATTATCCTGGAACCAAATAGATGGGAAGGATCCGGTCTCCTCCTTGGATGCAGCAGCATGAGGGATGTATTTACTTGCTGCAGAATTCCAAAAGCTGTGCAGCCCCCAGTGGTTAAAAAAATGGAAGTAATTTTGTCTGTCCAAAAGTAAATCAGGCACCAGAGAAAGAGTTGAAAAGGTGGATTTTCATGCAAGGTCATTAGGGATTGCACAGACGATATGAAATCCATCTTTAACTCATGTAACAAAGAGCTTTTCTGCAGTAAACCGTGACCTCTGTGCTGATACCTTCAGATTTATATGCTGTAATTCTCAGAGGAACCAGTGTTTTTCTGTAAATTCAGTGTCATAGGAAGGAAACACTCATTCTAAATACTTCAGGCCAATTCCAGGGAATAGTTTTGTTGCCTAGGCGACATGCCTCTAATGCCTGTTTACGTGCAAGTAGAATGAAAGTGTTTTCAAGTTTGCTTAAAATCAACAACAGAAGTCATTGCTAACCTTAGTCATCCCTGTACCCTTTGTGTTGCTGAGGAGTGGGAGAGACCTGAGAGGCAGAGCTGAGCAGAGGTTGTGCCTCCCTTTGGCATCACTCTTTTGCATCTACGTCAGAGCAGCCTGAATTTGTTCAGGGGGTCGTTAGGTTTTTTCTCTTGAAGAATTGTCTTGCTGGTAATTTGTACTCTTCTTGGCATAAGCAGATGATGAAAAAGCAACCAGAAAGACTAAAGTGATGTAGAATCAAAAGGGATGTGACCCTTCTTTAGAGCAGCCATGATTGTGGTCTCCATGAAATCCCACTCTTTGGTTGAGCTGCAGCTCACAGGTTTGGGCAGGCACAGCTCCTGCTCTGAAAAACATAACTCTCAGAGTGGCTTTCACACTGGCTTTCTGAGAAATGTATTGATTGAAACAGAGTTCTGTTTGCTGAAATCAAATCAGTTGCTGGTGAATATTTTCCAGCAGGATGGGAAACACCACAGCCCAGGCTCAGTGATCTCATGAGCTATAAATGAACAGTAAAGTCATCCTTCATGCACGTGGTAGGGCACAGAGCTCACCAGCCTCGCCCTTTCCCATCCTGCTGTCAGAAGGATCTGGGGCCCTAGGCTGTCAGAGGACAAGGCTGTTTGGCAGAGCAGGCTGTCTTCAGTTCCCTTGTGTAGAGTGTCACAGGCTGTGACAGGCAGCTGCCATTTGAGCCTGATTTAATGCTTGTATGGGAAAGTGTGGGAGAAGAGCGCAGTGGGAACACAGCAAATTTTGTGTTATACAGAATTCTAGCTTTTCCCCTTTCTTATGTGGAAAGTTTCCTTCTTCAAACAGGAGAAAGAAAGACTTAAATGTAACCAGAGTAGGTAGTGCAGTGTAGCAGGGATGCCATAGGGAAGGGAGGAGGTGGTGGGGAAAGCAGGTCTTCAATTGCCAGTGGAGAGAGGGCAGAGGCAGGAATTCTTTTCTTTGTAGAAGGGGAATTCCTTAATTTGGTAGCCTTTGCACTGTTCTCATTTTACAGTGGGTTGCAGACTTTGTCTTCAAATGGCTTCAAAAGGTTCCTGAGTTGAGTTTAGGAAGTTATTTAAAGCTAATCTCAACCTCAGTTGCTTCGTCTTTGTTTTCCTGACCAATCTGTTTCCTTGTCTCCTTTCTCAGGATTTATCTGAGTATTTTTTCTACAGTCGAAGTTATTTCTAAAGGACCAGAAAAACTAATTTAGAATTGTGAGCTTGTTCCTTAATTAAATCTTTTTTGGTTTTACAGTACTGAATCCAGGGGTAGGAATGCAAATTATAGATATTTTTAATGACCACCAAAATAAATGGTGGCTATAATCTTTTGTCCAAAAAATAGTGTAAGATGCTTCTCGTGGCTGTAGTTGATTATTTCTAAACCTATGAAATAGTTTCTGTATCAAATTGGGAAGAGACCAAATATATTTATGAGCAAAAAGAGGATCTCAAACCTTTCAGTGTCATGGTGATTATTGTTATTACTAGTTCTGTTCTTGTTTCCCCTTTCTGTGGAGCAGGAGTTGAACTTTTGTCTACTAAAGTTGTTTTTTGTGGGGTTTTTTGATTTTTTTTTAATTGTAGAAATAACTCCTTCTTTGCTAACTGCTTAATGCATTAAAATAAATGTAGGGAGAGCAAGTTTCTGACTGTGCAATGTCTTTGGGCTGTTTCCACTTGAAATGCATTGACTGAAAGCCCTTGTTCTGTCCCAAAACCATGAAGAACTGGGGTTTGTGAGGTCACAAATCTGCAGGTGCCTTACCCTGTCCCTGGTGTTTGGTGTGTGCTCCTCTCTCATCTCCTTCCCTTCTCCTGTGCTTGTTGCATTTCTTTTTCTCTCTAGGACATGTGCTGAGCTGTGGAACATGAGCTGTCAGGTTCAGGGAGCTTTAACACTAAAACCTTCCCTTTTTTCAGAATATACAGGCTATCACTGAGATTCAGAGGTTGCTTCCAAGTCTATGGCTTCAGCAAAATGTTTATTTATTTTTTTTTTTGCGTCAGCACTTCATTCCCATGTCCTCATCCTCCTGCTTTTCCCTCTCTGTCCCAGACAGCCATCTGGGCAGGCTTTGCAGCATCCTCCTTCTGCAATGATTAATGCTGCATAAGGTCATTTCTCACAATCATCTGGCAGCATCCTGGGGTGGAGCCCATGTGCTTTGCTCATCTTAACTTTCAACCAGCCACCAAAATCCAGCTTTACTGGGAAGCTTTTTAATGTGCCTCTTGGGAAATGATTCAGATGGAGGGAGTCAGGAACCCACAGATCGTTGTCAAAGGAAGGGGTTGCAACTCAGAGTCTTGAATATTGTTTAATTTCTGCCTTTGTTTTGGTTTGCTCAAAGAAAATACGTAAATGTTTTGCATTTATTTTTGCAGAGTTGTTGTATCTCTTAAAAAAAAGCAAACAAAAAAAATCCCCAACAGCTGTGAAAAAAAAAAAAAAAAACAAACCCAAACCACCCAAAGGAATTAAACTTTTAAGGGAAAGGCTTTCATGTCCACTCCAAATCATACAAGTTGTGATAAATAATTTGTAGAAGGCCACTGTTGATGTTAATTTTAGGGTAACTAGAACCATAGGCAAATCCAAAATAAAAAAATTACTCTGCTCGATTCTATATCAAGCCAACTAAAGGTGTTGACTCCTTTAGTGGAATGGTATTCCAAATAAACTTCAGGATTACAAGGTTTAATTTTTTTCATCTTATTTTTTAAAATACCCTAACACCTTTAATGTCTTTGCAGGTCAGGGGACAGGGAAAGTTTGTGTCTCAGCACTTTGCATGTTGTGATCCTGGAAATGATTGAAAGAATATTTGAATTCCCCTTATCAAGACCTCCTACAGTGGAGGGATTTAGTTGAAAAAGTTATCTTTTACCCCCACCATCTCAGTGATTTCTGTTATGCATGGAGAAGTACGTGTCCTTTCTCTGAATACTCACTTTTACACCTTATTTTATTTTTTCTCAGAAACTTCTCAGCAAATACTGAGAGCAAAGAAAATGCCTATTAGCAAACATCTGTAAAGGCTCTTTTTGGCCACAGTTAAGTCCTAAATTCATTGAAGTGCAATCCAGCTCACCTAACTTGAAGAAAATTAGTATTTCTGTAATGTTTTTTTTTTTCTGTAAGAAAAGAACACATTCTGTTCTGCAAACATGGTATTTTCTTACTCAAATAGGATTAAAGAACAATGCATATTTACTGGCCAGATAGCCAATTTTTTTGCAGTGGTGACTACAATATAGATGTTTTAGATGTGTCAGCCACACTTGGCATTTTTCAGACAGAGTCGTCTTTCATATTAACTGTTTTCCTTTGTTTAAAAAAAAAAATCACTGAAATGACGACAGAATATTTTTAGAAGAATAATCATGGGCCACGAGTTCAAGGGAATTGTTCATTGTGTTCTGTTGTCAGTGGAATGCTCAAGGTAAAAGTTAAAATGGATCAAATGTATTTCCCCTTTTTCAGACATCTCCTTGAGCTGCATTTTATGATAAAAGCCCTAAATCTTCCTTGTTAGGGAAGTGGGTTTTGTTGTGCAGCAGTATTCTCATCTGGGAAATAAAAATTCCTCTTTTTACTCTAATTCCTCTCTAGTTAATTTGGTGTTCTGCACTATCGTTTTTAGATTCGCATCCAGATTCAAAGTTTCCAAACTCTCCCATGCTTCTCACAGCTGATGGGGTGAAGTCAGTCCTCTCCTCTCCTGCTCTGTTGCCCCAATCCCAGAATCACAGAATGGTTTGGGTTGGAAGGGACCTTGAAACTCATCTTGTTCCAACCCCCTGCCATGGGCAGGGACACCTTCCACTAGGCCAGGTTGCTCCAAAGCCCCCTCCAGTCTGATCTAATGTCTGACAGTATTTTTCTGTCTTAGAAAAGTGGCAGACTGTTTCCTCCACTGTAGGAGTGTTATCCACATAATGACTGCTTGATTTGTCTGTATTTAAGCAATTCAGTAAGCTCTCATCATGACTCACACAAATAACAGATTATCTTGAATACTGCTGAACATCATCAGAAACTTCTCAGGGCTTCCATTTCAGCTCTCTTTTCTTTAAACCTCAGCTTCCTATTCAAATGTATCAAATCCAATAGTTCACTAGTTTACAGAACCCAGTTTTCTGAAATTCACTATTAGTATTTGACACACCTTAACATGAAGTGAATGTTTGTGGAGGGATATATTTATAGTGTGGTTTTTAATGCTTTGTGTTTAAAAGGTTCTTGTATTTTGGTGTTGTGCTGTGGGTGCTGTCTTTTTTTCCTCTGTTTCCCTTTGATGGATGTGAGGGGGGAAGCAGTTTGAGCATTTAGTTAAACCATCTCAGGAACATTATTGTGTACCTGTTAAACTGAACTAAGAGTAAAAAATAGCTAAGCTTTAAACAGGGCTTCTCTCTGAATAGTGAAATATTCGATTAGAAGATATTTTGAATATCTCAGTTTCTTTTTGTTCAGTCAGATAAAAAACTTATAGCTTTTAGTGTGTGCCCCTCTAATAAATAATAAAGCACAGAAAAACAAAAGTCTCTGGACTGTTTAACACCACTCCTGCTCATCCTTCCCTCCATGTGGTCTGATGCCCATCTTTCCCTTCCAAGATCAGGATTTTGCATCCAGTTTTCTTCTGCCAAATGCCTGCTGACAGCCTGCAGCCCCTGGGGCACTCAGCTCCTGCCCAGCCCCCTGAGCCCACTGTGGGAGGACAATTAACCACCAGGGCTTTGCTGACTGCTCTGTGGTGTATGGCCTGACAGAGCACTCTGCCTGTTATTATTTGAAATGATACAGGGCTCTGCAGCAGGATAAATTGAAACTTCCCATGTCAGTCCCTCAGGGCAAACACCATTTCAGACTGGAGGTGATGTCAGAGAGGTGCTTGTGTTTTTTATAGTGGCCACAGGGAACGAAATATCTTCTGGAGCTGTATGGTCAGCATGTGGCCTTTGGCCAGAGAGAGCCAGTTTGGCTTCTACATACTGCTTTTGGAGCAAACTAAACCCAAAAATTACAGCATGACTCAAAATCTCTAATACAGGGCGGCTGTTCCTGTAGAACAGTATTTTTCAATGACAGTTGGATTTGAAAAATGCTGCAAACCCTAGTATTAACTTGCTGCTTAATGGAAAGTAGTTGGGGATGGGGAATTAAGCTTATATTTTTTTCTGTCTGTTTTCTGCTGCTGAGTAATTCTCCTTTTTATGTTGCATGGTGCAGTGGAACAGTGTGTTGCCCTTGAGCTCTACAAGCCCATCCCAGTCCCACAGGAGAGGCTGGAGTTTGTCATCAGGAGTTGTGATAACCCCCTTCCCCATTACTTGCTCTCAGTAAACCTTTGGCAGTTTTATGGCACCTTGATTGATAACAGGTTTAGCCAGAAATTGGGAGAGGAACAAGATTTGCTCTGCAGGATGAAATATAGAACTGGGGAGAGGAAGGCAGGCAGAGGATCTGAGCTGGGTAACGGCAGCCAGGGACTTGTGGGGTGGAAGAGATCACCCTGCAGAGCATTTCAGGCTCTTTTGAAACCAGAGCAAAAAGTTTCAGTTCTATGATGGCTAATTTGCCACCAGCTGAGAAATCTCTCAGCTCGTGTGAAATACAGAATATTTGCATTCATTTAAAATGTTAAATGTATTTACTTCATTGGAAGTGTTCAGGGCCAGGCTGAATGGGCCTTTGAACAACCTGATCCTGGTGAACCTGCCCACAGCAGGGCTGTTGGATTAGCTGATCTTTAGTGGTCATCTTTATAGATCTTCCAGCCCAAAGCAGTCCATGATCCTAGTTTAACTTACTTTTGATTTTCCTTACGCCAGCAGCCTGAAGAGGAGCAGTCTGCCTGCGATGTCACCAGCTCCAGCTCCTCTGCAGATGACACCATGTCCCTGGAGAGGAACTCATCCCTGGGCAGCGACACGTCCCTGCCCTTCCCACCCGTGGGGAGCTTCCCCCAGCCCAAGGACAGGCACAGCCTGGATGGCAGCTGCACCAACATGGTGTCCTCAGAGGGAGGAGAGAAGGAAGAGGAGCTGGACAGCATCACAGATGTGCCCACGCCTTCGTCCGTCCTGCGCAGCTCCATGCGGCCGCTGTCCCCTTTCCGCCGGCACAGCTGGGGGCCGGGCAAGAATGCCACCAACGAGGCAGAAATCAATCAGAGGAGGTGAGTGAAGAGCTGCTTTGATTTACTCTGCACCCATCCATGCATATTTATCTGAGCTTTAAAGCTGGCGTGATAAAACTGAAGAGTTTATCGCATCACTTTTGATTATTTCTTTTTCGGTTTGAAGAGGTTAAGACAATCTCCTAATGTATGTTTGTTTGGTTTTTCTTAAATTAACTTTCAGGATTAAAGTACTTAATACCTACAGTATGCTTGAGCTTTCCAGAGTAAATGGAATTACCTCGGGACAGGTCTTCCATTAGAACTGTCACCACCCCTTTCTGTACAAAGGAATTATTGGAGTGTTAAATCTCACTGACCACAGAATAAACATGACCATCATTGCTCTGATTGTATTAAGGGATAGCACAGGCACCAGGGTTTAAAAAAAGCTCTGTGGAAGCTCCTTCTAATGGTGAGATGGGTCCTCTCTGTTTCACAGAATTGGTTCCCCCTCAGTCCCTCATGCACAGTAAGTTCTACCTAACTCATCACTGTTGTCCCTGGTGTTGTTCAGGAAGATTCAAAAGAGAAGTTTTCCCATCTATTCTTTCAGAAGGTACAAGGGGCAGAGCCATGTGAGTGTGTCCATGCTGGTACCAAGTGACTGTGGGAAGAAAAGTTGCTCAGTCCCCCGTTTCACTGGGGAAGGAGATGAAATAAAGGAAGATGCACACCAAAAAGTAGTAATTGATGTGAGGCTCCCTGCCATGCCATGCACTGTTCAGCATTTGGGCTGCAGGGTGCTTGGGGCCAAACCCTGTGTATTCTGAGCCCAGTGCAGGTTTGGCCAGTGTTTTTGATGTGCTTTAATGCCCTCCGAGCAGGAATTGCTTTAGCAGGGTCAGGGTGCCATATCCTCCCTAGGCAGGTGCCATATCCTCCCATCAGGAATGTATGCATCCTTTACACACAGCAGCTGTGGGTATCACTAAAGGATAATAATTAATTAATATCACCTTCAGGTTTTAAAGTCAATGTTGAAAACCATTCAGGATTTTCTGAGTAACATACAGTGAAAGATTTTTGTTGTTGTTGTTGTTAACACTGTCACCTTTTTTTGGGCTTCATTCCTGGTCCCCAGGTAGTATTTAAATAAGTTAAGAAATCCCCATCAATTTTTAAAAGCAACAAAAGAGTCAGCATACTTGCATGTTTATGACAGAATGAGTCTATAAGCTCCTAAACTCATTTGGGGAGATTTATTTTTAAGTATATGGCCTGATGCATAAGGATTTCTGGGGGTAATAAACTGCAAAGCTGGCAGTCACTGCTAACACTGAACAGAAGGGGTTAAATTCTCCTGCATCCCACTTTGGAGGCTGTTTTTGATATGGGAAAATACATTCATTGTAAGTGTAAGAAAATCTGAGTTAAAGGAACAGTAATTCTTCTCATATGTTCTCACATTCAGCTGCAGCTACATAAGGATAGCTGTCATGTAGGGTAATTAAAAAAGAAAAGCTGGGTGGGTCTGTAGTGCTGATTAGATTCATGTTTGTTTTTATGCTTCTCTCAGAAAGGAATTTGGATTATTTGCTGTGTTGTTTTGTTCTTTTCTTTGTTCTTTTCATATGTGGCTGTTGTGATGTTGAGACTCTCGTTGCTTAGTGAGAAACAACAAATACTGAGGAAGGGAAGTGCTAACAAGTGACTTTCACTCAAATCAGTTAAATTTGGAGTGTTTGCTTATTCATTTATTTCACATGAACTAGATAGTTTTCCAGTAGAAGGGGAAAAGTCCTTATTGCAACTTGACTTATGCAAACCTTTGAAGTGGAGTAACACTGAGCACAAGCCTTGGCTGAGGTTTGTCCTGCTGATGGGCAAGATCTGTGCTGCTCCCACCACCCTTTGTGCTCCCTCCCCTCCTCTGGGCACCCATGGCACTTCTCTGCTCTGTAGGTGAGCAGCTTGCCCTCACTAAATGAGGAGAAAAATAACCAAATGAAGTGTAATTGCCACCAGAATCAGCCCAGGGGTCAGAACTGGGCTGTGCAGCCAGGAGGAGGAATGGGGTGACAGAGTGCACCATCAGCTGAGCTCTGAGAGGTGCTTCCTGCCCCAGCAATGACTTGCAGTCCCTGTCCACAGCAGAAATAGTCCAGACCTTGATGACAAAGATAGCTAAATCAAGCTTAGATAGAGGACCCAGAAAGCCTACAGAAAAAAAAAAAAATCAACCTTTTGTAGAATTTGATCTTTCCCACTGTTATGTGTTTGTAAAAGGGATGAGCATAAAAGTTTGTTCACAGAAAAGATTAGGAAAAAAAAATGAAAATGTGAAAAGATGCTCAGTTCCCCTTCGCTTCCCATCTCTACTCAAATGCACTTCACAGATAATCCTTGTGTCTGCATTTTACTATTAAAAATACAAAGAAAACCAACAAGGCTGCACAAAAGGATGTTCATCCTTCAGTTAATTCCTGACATTCATAGCAGATTTGAAATGCCTGTCTTTCAACAAAGCTGCAGTGTGTGTGTTAAATGTCCAGGCTGGGCAAAGAAACACCCTCATGTTTCACTGATGGATTAAGCACTGCACAACTGGAGCTGCTGTTAATCACTATTGCTAGCAGCTTCTGTCAAAGTGTTTGGCCCTATCTAAACTTTAAACTGACCTGGCTTTGGCAGCAGCAAAGTTGCAACATGGTCAATACCTGTGCAGCCTTCTTTCTGTACAAAATAAAACCAACCAAAGCCCAGATTTATTTGTAGAAGAGAGGAGAAACACAGAGACTCATTACTTCCTTTCATATTCCATTTTGTGTTTTCCCTGTATGTCCATTCCCTCTGTCTGTGTGTTGGGGATATCAATCCCTTAGCTGCCATTTGTTATTTTTTTTTCCATTCAAGCTGCTGACCATTCTCCATGATTCATTTTCAGTTCAATGCGAATTCTGGGGGATGGTATAAAGAAGCCTCCCATTCATAGGAGAAGGTACAAAGCCAACTAATGTGACTAACTGTTTTGTGTTTGAATGTCTACTAACTCCATCTTCTCATGTTAGTAAACCTGTAGTACCTCTGTAAGTGTTGGCATTGGAGCTGTGCATCCCACCTGGCTGCTTTCTCTCTCCAGTCTGACCCATGGGCCCCACAGAGCCCATGCTTGAGCTGTTTTCTCCAGGATGTTATGTTAATAATGAAGAGAAATCTCAGATATGATTTTGTTGGCCTTTGCCATGTATAAGATTTGGAGTTGGCTAAGACAGTGGTTTACCTGGGAGCATGTGTGTGATTTGGATTTAAAGCACATCAGACACTCCTGGCAGGACTTGCAGGAGGGGCAGCTGGGGGGAGGGATGGGTCAGACACGATCTCAGAGTTGGAGAACACTCTGCAGATCTGCAGCTGGTTGAATTAAATGGCTTTAATTTTGCTCTTTTGATGGTTTTTATAACCATCTTCCTAAAAAATAGAAAATAAGGTGTGTTTTTCTCTTTGCTTCCATGTGTTTTTCCTCTCTATAACAAACTTTCAGTTTCTCATCCATCCCACAGATACACAGTTCCACTCACATAACCTTTGCATTGACTATTAGTTTATAAAAGAGGATACTTAATTTTTGACACAGCAGGTGTGAAATGTCTGCACATAGACATTTTAGGCTAAAGAAAAAAGAGAAGTTGAACTTCTGTCCTTCAGTGGTTCAAGCTTATATAACCTCCCATAGCCTGCCACCTCCCCTCCTGTGCCAGCCTAGCTTGGGATTTCACTGCACCTGAAATATGGCTGGGGTCTTGTGTGTGCAAACAAACTACCACATTCTCACATGTGAAAAGAATGTTACCATGATGCTATGACCAAAAAAATCACTGTGCCTCACCATGCATCAGCATCAATGAACCCCAGCAGCACTGTACGGTTCAAAAGAACATTCTTAAAAAAGATTTTATTTTAAAAAGGCACAAGGAAGAACATGCTTTTTTTACTTCTAAGAAGCCACTTCATTTGCATCACTGCAGGAAGCAGTGCAGTGCTTGTCTTCTCAGCTCATGCAAATTATCCTATTTTTATCAGTATTTTCTTAAGGCTCCTCTCTAGGAGCTGTTATTATTTAGAGTCAAAATATCTGAAACACTGAGCTTACATGTAGAATAAAGAAAACATCTAGAATACCTGGTCATATCTGAAATGTGATATGATAATCCTTTCATAAACACTTTCTCACTTTTTCTGGTCTCTAAACCATTTTGGAATCATCCTCTCTAACCCCACTTGTGGAGCAGGAGCCTGAAACTGATTCCAGCTGTTCATGCTTTCCCACAAGGCTGATGTAGATAAAAGCTCCTCCTCCTCCCCAAGCTGTCCTCTGTAAAGGAGTTTTGCATGCTATGCATTGATCTTCTTAGGATTTTAGGGTGTTGCCAACAGGCTGTGGGTGGCTCCCCCACAGGACTGTGGTTCTGCAAGAGTGCTTTCCACAGCCTTTGCCAACAGATCCCCTTCCTTCCTTCTTCCCTTCCTTCCTTCCTTCCTTGCAACACTTCAGTTTTAGCATTTGGGATCAGCTCCATAACATGGCAGTGATCAGGAATAGAAGCATCTTTTATAGTGTAAACATTACATGATTAATGAGGAGAATCTTCTTTCCTTCGATTGAAAAGGGACCACACAAGAATGAGTGGCTTTGAAGAGCAAAGTGGCATGAGGCTATCTCAAAGGGTCTGCCAAGCTCAGTGCTCTTGTGGCCACAAGCAGATGGCCTGGGAAATCATGTGGGACACCTTCCTTGGGATGCTTTCTCTGCTGCCCCTGAGCAGGTCTGAGTCACCCACTGGGAGGCTGAACCCAGGCCTGAGAGTGCAGGTTGTGTGTGATGGAGGTGGATTTCCTGTGGCCTGGACTTGGTTCCTCCATGATTTCACACAAGTATTTTAATCCCTGCCATCCCCCACCAATACATCAACATCTGCCATTGTGGTTAAAGTGGGTGAGGATGATGAAGCACTTGGAAATATTGGATGTTATGGGAAGGAATGTTTTCATGAAGAATGTTTTTAGTACTGTGCTGAGAGCTCCAGGTGAAGCACACCTTTTGGGTGTGTCCTCACCCAGTTAATACCTTTTATAAAACAGGCAGCAATTATCTGAACTCTGCCATTGAACACCCATCCAGAAAGTTTCCACTTCTCAAACCCTTCCCGAATGTTTCCAGTGTTGCAGTGTGTATGGACACAATATGAGATGGCATGACATGATGCATTCAGTCTGTTTAAATCTTTGTCTGTGCTCTCAGAGGCTTCTGGCATTTACAGTTCCTTGTCCAGGAAGGCTTAAATTTGTTCTGCCCTTTTCATAGGCTCCTGTCATGGAGCAAAGCATGTTCTGGCCATGTCCCCTCCTTGCATGGATCTCAGACCAGGACCTGGGAGCAGGACTTGTGCTTATGCAAAATTCCCTTCAGACAATATATGCTTCCTGAACAGCTTTTTCAAGAATTAGGGATCATATAAATGTCATAGCTGATAAGATGGATTTCTCTGTTTCTGCAAAACCTGCAATTGGGCCATGAGCTAACAGAGAAAAAATAACAAAAGCAGTCTAAAATAACAACCAAAATATTTGCATTCTGTATTTGCATTTCTTATATCTTTCATGATGCAACTTTGGGACTCTTTTGGGGAATGGGAACTGAAAGGTTTTTTAGTTAGTAGCGCTCTTGATTTAATTCCAAGTTAATAGTAAGATTAGCCTATTGTTTTTTCTTCCAGTCTCTTTCACTGACTGTGAAAGACTGTGCAGCATTTAAGAATGTGTCTTTCTCCTTATTTTTCCAAGCCTAGCCTGAGGTTATTAATATTTCTTTGGAGGGGACTTACACTATGAATTATCTGTAAGGGATTCTTTTTCTGATTTGAGAATGAGAGTTCCCAGGAAAATACTAATAAGTACTAACACAATGGCTGTGTGTGATTACTTACAAATTGGCTTTGGTATGTTTTAGCCTTGTTTTTCCCAAAAACCTCTCTCCCCACAAGGAGTACTTTTCCCAGTACATTGTATACTCACTGATGGGGTTGGTTTGGGGGAAGTGTGAGCTGTCCTGCTCCCTGTTCAGTGGTAACCTCGGGCATCTGGGGCACTGTGGTGGGTTTGTGCAACCAGACATGTGCTACTACATTATTTCTGAGTTTGTTGGGGTTTTTTTTTTTGAAGGTATGTGAGAGTGAGAGACTTTTAGCATTCCCCATGTTCCATAACAATCCGATAATCACTGCCCTTTTCCTTTCTTTGCCTCTTTTGCTGTTCCTAGTTTGAGCTGGTGTCCCTCAGGCGTACAGTACATTGCCATGGGTCCTGACTTTACTTGTAGAAGGTATGGTATGAATAAATGTGCAGCAGCACAGGAGCTCTGCAAACACCCTGTCGTCAGCTTCTCGTGCATCCTGCACTGCTGCTCTGGCTGAAGCGTGCACGTGTTTGTTTGCTTGGTCTGCTTTTCCAGCAATCACTCTTGGGAGTGGAGCCTCAGAGCTGGGCTGCAGGTGGAGGTGGTGGCTGCTTTCCACTGGCCTCTGGCAGTAAAGGAGCTGCACTGTTGGGTTGAGCTGCTCTGTTCCGTGATGACTTCGAGTCGTGGTTTTTTCCGCAGCAGTGATCAAAATGATAATGGTGACAGCAGCAAAGAATCAAAGCAAGATTAGATATGATTCAGCACTTCTCTCTACCAGATCAGTCTCATAAAGGATTTAAGTTCACACAGACTTGCTCTCTGTAAATTGAAAGACCTAGACTTTTCTTCAAGGAGACTAATCGTGTAAAACCTTCCCTGAAAAAAACAATCTGATCACCACAGATGAAAATTTCCCAGGCTCTTAAAGTTTGTATCTTCTGTAGAAAGTCCCAGCACTGAAATTGGTGTTTGCAGGTCACTTCTTTACCCAATATTGTTTGGAAGCCAGTCCCCCAGATTTTATGGCTTTATAGCTTTTCTCTAGCAGTTTTTGCTGGTTGTGGGTAGAGCTAATAAAACTCTTTTTTCTGAAGAGTGGATATTGAGAAGGAAACCTGCCCTTCATGGACAGTTAATTATGTTTGGTGTATGTATGCCAATCAGCAAATTACAGACCAGTATCACTGATAACTATTTTATGGGCTAATATTTGCAGGTTTTAGCTAGTTTTGTCACAAGTAGATGATTTTTTTTTCCTCTATTGCCACCTTGAAATGTAAAAAAGAGATATTGTTCTGTCCTAAATAATCAGTAGAAATGGGACTGATTTCTACCTAGGTGTTTTAGAATAAACTTTTAAATGCCTGCTGTTGATACACATTGATGAGTCACAATCTTCCTAAAGCAGATTAAATTATAAATGCTTCAACCAGTCTTTTTTTTCTCATTAATTACCATCAAAAAGGTTTTTTAAATTACTAAATCTTCTTATTCATGGTTTATTGCAGTTTTTGCTTTCAAGGTGCATATTTATGAGCCTTGTAATGCTTCTAAGGTACTGCAGAACATTAATCACTGCTATGCAAGTCTACCTGAATTTAAAGCTCCTTTGGTTGTTTAAATTATCTGTACAGCCTGTAGTATGTTTTCTTTTTCATGTGTTTCATGGCAGCTTGTTCACCACAGACATCATGATTAGCCTCATGTTGGGATATAAATCCAGGATAGGGCTGGCACTTAGTGAGTATCAATTCAAACATTGGCCATGGATCTGTGCTGCTGTCCTGGGAGGGGAATCTGCAAAGCTTCACCCAGTGAACTCACACTGGCATTTCAGTGGGTTCATTTGGGCATGAGGAGCAGGAGGGTCAGAAGCAGAATATTAGAGCAAGATTTATCAGATTAAATAGGCCCATGTGAGACAGGATGTGTTTTGTATAAGTGAGAGGAAAGAGCCACTTGTCTGTCAGCACCTGTCTCTACAGAGTTTGGCCAGATGTTTTATTTCTAACACTTCTGCAAGCAAAAGTTTAGTGTTTTATTTAGCTTTGAGTTATTGCCCAGCTCTGCTGGGCAAGACCTAGCTCCCTCAATAGATGATAAAATAAAATTGATTGGGTGATGGAAACAACATTTATTGAATTTAAAAACAAAACCACAGCATGGATAAAAGAGAAACCACCTTTGGCAGAATAAATGACATTATCAGTGCCAAAACTGTGCAACGTCAAGATTTAAAATAGATTCAGGGGATGTGGCTGCAGAGATGAGAGTTACAGCAGCTGATGTGGCTGCTGGGAGGGGTATTGGTCCAGGACAGATAGCACCTGGTAGTTTGATTTGGGTGGCTTTATTCCAAAGGAGAGCCTAATAAAAAGCTATCAAAGAGAATATGTGGAAATGCCAAAATCTTTAGAAGGGGTGTTTCTGGATTTTCCTATGCACCACTCAAAAAGAGTAAAAAATCCAGTAGGAAAGGCAGTTTCCAGGAGTTTCAATGGTTGTTCAAGCAGAGAACAAACCTTTATGTCTCATTAGCAGCACAAAGATATTGCTATTTACTCTGAAGAAAAAAGAACCTGCTGAGGAATAACACCTGCCTTTGCCTGCACACTTCAGTGCCTGCTCTGTGTTTTATGTTTGCAGGTGCTCTGTGCTGAAAGACCTGGTCCCTGAGAGTTTGGCAGCACCTGACCTCTGTGCTTTCTCTTTAGTTACAGCCTAGAAGGCCTTACTGGAGACTCTGGTGAGAACAAGAAGCCCTCTACAAACCTAGAGGCTTCTTCCCTGAGCTCCAAAGACCTCAGGAGGAGTCCACTTGCCAGCAATCAGTCCCTGGTCCTGCTCACTGAGGAGCTCGAGCAAGGAGAAATCAGAGACTACAACCACCAGGTAAAGCTGTCCAGCTACTGTTGGGAAATGCTACATCAACATTTTGGAAGTCATTTTTCCAAGTGACAGTCTCACAAAGGTTTCCACCTATATGTGCATATACATAATACTAAAAATCTTCCATCTTTAACATGGAGGAATCTCCAGCTATTTTAAATTTTCTACTTTGTCCTTGGGGCAACACAACATTTGTGTCTTCTCTTGCTTAGAGGATGGGCATTTTTGGGGAACAAACTGCTAAGCATCAGGCTTTTTTGTCTTATTAAACCATAGCCTAGTTCTGCGGAGGAATTGGAGTCACAACAGCAATTACCATGGCCATCAGAGAGTTTTAACAATATCTGATTTTTAATGTCTTGCAAGAAAATCAAGCACACATAGTCTCTGTGTTGCATAATTAGTTGTCTGACACTTAAAAGGCAAAACAAAATGTTGCATTTCACCTGTACACTATTGTTTCAAAGTGAGAGTTGCAGTAAACCTGAGCCCTGAACTGGGCTCTGAAGCTGGGGTGGTTCTGTCGTTCCTGACATACTCAGCGTGGTTCTGTCCTGTTCTGCAGGTGCATCAGACATCACAGCCACAAGGATTTAACTTCTGCTCTTCTGCTGCTTCATCTCCACTGACCAAATCCATGTCTCTAATGTCAATTAGCAAACCAGTGCTCGACAGTGAGTAATCCAGTTTTCCCTTATCCACTCTGTCATCTGTATAATTGAGTATATTTTGCTTCCTTCCCAAGGCAAAATGTGCTACTGCCCGCTCCTGCTTCCTTTATTACATGAAGTACATGTTTCACTGCTGCATGGAATTGTGGGTGGAAAGGCAGTAATCACTCAGTTTAGTTTTGTTCTTCCCAGTGTATCCCTGCTATTTTCTTTCTGTTAGGTTCCCTTATGTGGGTTGTTTTTTTCCTTCTAAATTAGACTACTGGTATGGAAACTATGATTTATTGAGTTTGTTAACTAAAAAAAAAAAAGGATCTCATTTTGCATCCTTTTACCTTTCAGAGTTTCTTCTTTTGATGTCAGGTAAATTCCACTTGAGGTCTTTCTTCACTGCATCTAGATTTTTTTAAAGATGTTATATGGGAACTTAAGAATCTATGTCTTGATCTCCTTGGAGGAGTTTGTTGCTATTCATTCTGAGTTAAATATTTTGGAGCAGTTTGGTGTAATTTATTGAATCTCATTCCTGGAGAAAAGAATAAAAGATGATTCTATAAAATTTTCCAGTTTAGCTTAATTGAAGCGATAACAAGCACTTAATTTTGCAACTTAGCTGAATTGATTCTTTCAGCTGAAAAAGTCATTCAGAAGGCTGCAGCTGGATGTGCTTTGGATGTATTACACATGTTTTCATTTTATTAATTGCCAGCCAGAAACCCTATTGACATTTTAGCTCGTGTCAATTATTGATGGTGTCTGATCTTTCCTATTTATTAACATGATTCTCCCTTGCAAAGGACAACAAGGTGCTTTAAGAAAAGTGTTTTATTCATGGAGGAGGCTCGCTGGAGAAAGCTCACAGGGATTGTGCTTTGTAGGAAATGGTTTTAAATTCTTCACCATGATAATTCCATGATTAATAAGGATGTGGCCTGACAGATGTGTCCCCCAGCAGCAGTAACCAAACCAGGGCAGCTCTGTCCTGTGAAGAGACCAGATCCTGCCCTGTGTGGTGGCACTGCCTCTTCCCTCCTTGGGCTGAAGGTCTTCATTGTTGTTTTTTGAGGCAACCAATTTCTTGGCATTGCACCCAGCCTCTGACCAAACACCAAAACACTTGGCTGACTCCCCAGAAATGAGCTGTTGGTGGCTGAAGGAGCCTGGATGGCCAAGGCTGTTAAAATGTCCTGTGACCTGGCATTAAAAATGCCATGAAGGCTTGATTATCCCATCTCCTCCTACAGCCAGCCTGGCCACCCTGGTCCCTGGAGAGAGAAGGGAAAGAGAACATGTAGTAACCTCTCCAGAGGGGCTGTGGGCAAGGTAGCAGAGTTAGTCTTCTGCTTTGAGGCAGATGTCTGTGGGTTTGGGACACTGAATGAAAACATGACTAACATTCCTCTGAGCTTTATTTGCTCAGTCATTAATTTGTGACATTTTTATAGGAAGGTGGTTTTTGAAAATCCGAGCATTTGAGGGGTTGATGCAAGCATCCAAAAGGAATAATGTGGAAAATTTAGCTCATGGATTCAGTCACCTTCCTGACTACAGAAACTTCAGTAAATCATCCAGAAAAGTTGTGACTGCCCCATTCCTGGAAGTGTTCAAGGCCAGGTTGGATAAGGCTTGATACCTGCTCTAGAGGAAGGTGTTCCTGCCCATGGCAGAGGGCTGGAACTGGATGAGTGTTAAGGTCCCTTCCAACCCAAACCATTCCATTATTCTGCTTCATTCCTCCTTTTTATTCAAACAGTGATGTTTGAATTGTGACCGTAGGACATGTGAAGCAGTTTGGTGCCTCTTACAAGGAGGTCTTGGTGTATAAACTCCCTTGTGCCACCTGGGTTTGATGTTCATGTTTTTCCAGCAGGACACTTAAGAGTTTTGCAAGAATTATATGAAAGTGAATTATAGGACAAATTCAGTTCTTTATTCCTCTTGCATAATTTTGTGGTAGGTGTTTAAAAAAAAAAAGACCCTGTGATCCCTCCAAATGTGTCTGAATGGGAAGAAAGCAACATGCTGTGCTCAAGAACTTCAAAAACTGAGTCCAGATTAATAAACATATGGAGGGTTTTCTATTATTTTACTGTTTATTGTCATATGTGCTGAGGCAGGAGCAATTTCCAAGACCAAGTTCCTAGCCCACACTGCATCTGATGTGTCAGATGTTCCAAGAGCTGATGTGGCCATTCACAATGTTAATCCTTCAGCATTTTATAGAGGGAGGTCACAAGAGCTGTTGGCTGGAGTGCTCGGAAGAATGCTTTTAGGGTTGGAATAGCAAATTTCCAGTGTGGAGCACTGTTACAAAGCCAGGAATTGCTATAAATAAAACCACTGAAATGGAAGTTGAACTGTTCTGGCAAAGGTGGTTCGATTTACAGTAAAGTATTATTGTTCATCTTGACTTTTAGTCTAAATAGACATTAGACTACAGAAGAAAGAGTCATATTGCCTAATCGTGTTCTTCAGGTCTGGAACACTAGAACAACTCCTTCAAAAGGCAGTCTAAACAAAACTAATGCATGGGTCTTCCTAAGAGTTCTTCCATTTAAATGCCTTTACTCTGCACATTTTAGTCAATTGCCTGTAGACAATTGGCATTTGTGACTAATGGCTGGAGGAAGTGTTATAGGGCATTTGTTCTGCATTGCTTTTGTAGCATTGGCTATTCCTTGGACAGTGTTTTTATATTCTGAATTCAGTTTTGATGTATGATACCAGCCATGCAAAAAACCCTCCTTGTACTGGCTGAAAGGCCATGTTTTATTCAAAGAGAGAAATAATTGCTTTGTCTTTCTCTTGGAAGAGTAGTACTGCTAAAGTCTTTAGCCTGTTTTCCCTGTTCTGCAAGTGAATTGATGTGTCCATGGAGTGACTTAATAGTACCTGAATACCTGTGCTGAATAATATGAAGATGTTTAATGTAGGTGCTTAAATAGGACCCTTGGGTCAGACCTGTCCCAGGGGCAGGGGTTCCTCAGCCCAGTCCCAGTCACCTTTCCTGACGACACTCAGATGTACCATGTGAGCAGTGGGTGTCCAGCTACCAGCTCACAGCTCAGAGGTTTCCACTTGTGCTTGTATGAAGAGAAGGTTTGGGAAGTAGGGCCTTTGGGAATCCAGTTTCAGTGGAGAATGGCTAGCTGGCTGCTAATTCTCATTTCAGAGACCATGTACTTAGAAAGAATTGTTGGGAAGCTGCTGCTATGCAAGGGCTGCTCTTAAAAATAAATGATGGGATATATGAAATCCCATACTGGCAGACTAATTGCTGAGTTTGGCACTATGTTTGGTAGGCATCTTCCAGGCAAGGGCAGAAGAGGATGTAGTAGGGCTTTTCTCAGGTTTAGGCAGTTTCTTTAAAACAAGGACTCTTAAATTTTAAAGTAAGGCAGAAGAGATGCTTGTTTTTTCTGTTTTATTGTGGAAGAAGAGAAGGGAAGTTTAAGTGTCTTCGTTTTAATGCTGGAAATTTTGAAGGGCTTAATATTTTCAACATTGTTGATTTTTTTTAGACATAGAAGTGGCAAGAACCTCCCTGGGTAGATAAAGTCAGCACTTCAGATAAATTGTTCTTGCTAATATTTGGTAGCTTTGTTGTATCATTGAAGGTGCAGAAAGCACCTTCAAACAGATATCTGGAGTTGTTGTAGTTTGACTCCATGACAGTTCTTTCACTGAAGTTGATGCCCTTTGTTCCAGAGATTCATTTTGTTGTTGGTATTCTGTTTGGAAAAATAACTGCCTATGGTTCTTCACTAAGAGGTCCTATAAAAAAATGTGAGCAAAAATAGGGAAAGACTGGAGCCTTGAGCTGTGCATGCAGTGAGACCTGTGCCCTCTGAAACCTGCACCCTCTGGAATTTGCACATTCTCAGTTCTTTGTTTCTTGTGCCTTTCTGGAGCCAGCTGCTTTGCAGACTTTTCCTTTGCTTTGCTTTTAGTTTGCTTTGGCTGCTTTCCTCTCCTCTTTATTATTAAATGCATTTTCAAGCATGCTCTAATGTCTGCTGTTAACCCACTTCTCAGCCCAGGGCCGGACTCGACCATCGAGACGAATCTCCTTCTCCTTCAGCATCTCTCCACTCATTCCTAAGTCTAAAACTCTCTTTTCTATTGGCTCTTCTTCCAGTGATGAGGAGGAGGAGTTGGATAGTAAGTAATCATTTTCTGTGCAATGCAGCTGTAATGGGTGGAAACACAGGGAAATCTGTTTTTCTGCTTCAGACACTGGAATTTCACCTCGCAAACATTGAACTCCCCTTTCCATTGCTTGGTGTCTAACAGCATTATCTTAGTCCTGGATCTGAATACTAACTAATGGCAGACTTTAAAGGGTTATTATCCAAAGAATCTTCTACCTCAGCACCATCACATCTTATCTGGTTAGTTTAGTCTGTATCCATGTGGCAGATATCATCACCTGCCACTCTGAGCAGCAAAATGATCTTTACTTTTTTACTAAAATCAAAATATTTGCCTTGAGCTTGTTGCAGGGCATGGAGTTAGCAGAAGAGATACATCCTTGCCCTCCATAGGTGACAGTGAGTGCATTGCTCAGTGAAATAAAAGTGGACAGAAGCCCTGATTATTAAATTCTGAAAATCTTCACAGCAACTTCGTAGTTCCCCGACTATGCAAAAACCACAAATTGCAGTCAAAGACCTTAAATCCTCAAGGTGTTCATATCTAGGTCCTGATATTGTTATCAAAATAGTTCTGTGGGAAACAGGTGGGAATTCCCCAGCAGTTTTTTTTTTCTCCTCCAAACTCCACTGCTAAAAGCAGCCCAACTAAGGCAGAAGATTGAATTAAAGTAATTTAGACTCCTCTTGTTTTTTAAAATAGGCTTACCAAAGATTATTCAAAATGCTTGCTATTTCTTAAGCATGTTTTATTAGACTGTTGAAATAAACCAGACACATTCCTTGTGTCCTTACTGGGATGGGGGAAATTGCTTTCCAGTCCAACAGACTTTGATTGCTTCCTGAATTTAAAACAATCTCCACACCATCCACGTTGTACACATCTAAATTCTTCTCCTTTCCATTCCTGGTCTTCACTGTGGGATTGTCCTTTCCTTCAGCAAAGTCCTGTGCCCAGGTGTGATATTACCACTTCCATATTTAAGCTCCTTCCTTGTTTCTCTGTCCTTTTCTTCTGCTTTTAACAAAACTCACAATTCATGGTCCCTACAAAGTGAACTGCAAAGACACAGCTCTGCATTCATGTGATGCTCCACAGTAAAAAATATCCTTAGGTAAACTTTCTGGTGGAGTATGTTTCTTTGTTTGTTTGTTTGGTGAGTTTTGTCTTTTTAAGCATTTGGGTAATTTTATTATTATTTATTGGCTTTTTTTTTCTTTTAAACATCCAATACTTGATATTCATGTTAGGGTATGACAGTTTTAGAGGATATTTAAAGTAGCCAGTATTTATCTTCTCTCCCTCAACAGTGCTCTTGTTAACAATGATCATTTAAGATAATGTCAGATATTGTCTCAAACAATGATATTGTTTTCTTTACATATTTGTGGATACTGTGGTGACTTTATAAAGGTTGATTTAGCCACAGCTCTTTCTGAGACTGCTTTGGCAATGCATTTTTCATGGAGTAATCTCAGACCAGTTTGTTTTTTCACATCTTTAGGATTCATTTCTCAAACCACTCCTCAACCTTTCCATTCCTGCTTTTCCTTTAGAAAATGGAGAATTAGTTGAAGTTTATCTGGTGATACATTTAAGACACGGATTTCAGATGGCTGGACAATTATTATGAAGCCTTTGGATTTCTTGAGCCACAAAAGTTTAATTATTGACAGCATTAAGGCATTGCAAGCTGGTTTCAACATCCTAGTCCAGTCACTGCTTTCTGCAGAATGGATCTTGATGAATTATTTCAAGTCCAGTTACCATAAGAATTATTTTTTGTGGGTGGTGCTTAAAAGGTGTTCAGATAAATACAGCAAATTTTGGCTGCTAATCCCGGTTCCTTGGACATAGACAGGAGTTCTGGCTTTTGAAACAAAAACTTAATTTTTTTGTGGGTTCTGGAGTCAGATTTCAGTTTTGGTCCTGGTCATGACAGGGAACAAAAAGGTTATGAAAATAAGCTTTCCTTCCTCTGTTCTACTTCAGAAGCAAACCAGAAGGTGAGGAGATGTGTCTTTTTCTATGCTTATCTTTCTGGGGTTTACAGCTTGCAGCGGTGTTGATCATGGGATGTTATATTATAATCTAAAATATGAAATCATAAACAGACCTTAATTCTTCACTGGATCCATTTTGCCTGCCAGCACCAAGAATATCCCATTTTTAAGATGAAACAACTATTGAAGTTAAAGATAAATTATACATAACTGTAGTTCTCATGCAGTGTATTTTCTCAAGGTAGTGAAAAGCAGTCATAAATATCAAATTATTGCAGCTCTTCGTTCAGTGTTTGTTCACATTTCTGATGTTAACTGCAAAGAAAAATCAGGTTTGGGAAAAAGGTTTGGGAAATACTTAAATCCAGTCAAACTGATGAATCTTCTAAAAAAAAAAAAAGGAAAGAGTAAGGAGGTCTAACCCAGATTAAAAGCAAGCTAGAAGTGAAATGGGAACCAGAGTTACTGGAGTTTTAACCAAGGATTTGGGAGTCTGTAAATTACTTATGAGATCCTAGTACGCACTTAGATTTTATATTATAGTTTTATATTATAAAAATATAATATCACTATTGGAAGTGGAATAGTAGACTTCATTTCATACATATTACAGTATTACTAACTTTGGTGTATTTGGGATAAATCATTAATGAGGTGAAAGATTTTGCAAGGGAAATATTAACAGAGCTCTCCAAGCAGGGTTTAGGTAACAGGGTATGCCTGTATTTTAGTTTCTCAATATGAAGAAATTATATTTCTGTTTCAGACTCTGTTGGCACTTGAATCAGTGGTTAGAAAATCCATATTTAAAGCCTAGTATTGCATGCACAGTTTTTCCTAATGCTCTTACTGCTTTTGGATAAAGGGCCATCTTGGCCTCTAATGGCAAGTAGCTCTTTTGCATTCACCCTTAGCATTAAGAGAATTTGAGCCAAAATACTGTTTTTCTTGCAGTATATTTGCAGAAGCCTAGTAAGGTGGCAGCCATGCTTTTTCTTGAATTTCAGATAGGGCTGCAAACAGTGCTTGTGTGAAGGTTTTTTTGAGTCCTGGCAAGCCCAGTTATTTCAGAGAGAGCCCTCTGTCCTGGATCATTTCATCCTGATATTTCAATGCTCTTCAATGGTTCTGGTAAATGGTGTCAGCTCCCAGATCTGCTCCAAATGCGTTGTGCAAGCAGGTTTCTTGGGTAGAGAGAGTTGGTGCCTCTGGCAGGGCTTCAGCTTCGTGTTGAAATTCAGCCTTTCCTCAAGCAGTGTTTCGTGACGAAGCCCCAGGCTGGTAACGTTTCGTGGAAAACAGAATAAGGCTTCCCTTGTTTCCCTTACTCTTTATGAAGTGCCTCAGGATTTTGATGGGAAAATAAACTGCAGTTTTATCAAGGAGAAAGTTTCATACATGAAACCCGGATGTGCTGTACAATAGATCCTTTCTAGCGGAGTATAAATAAAAGCATTGTGTCAGAATGATTCTCATTTATACCTATTGTCATTGAATTGGCAGTTCTGTTTCAGCCACCCTGATTTACCAGCAAGTTTAACAGTTGCATGGTCTTTACTTAATAGCTGAAGAGTGATAAAAATACTAAACAGGCTTTCACCTCAGCATCTAATTTGAGAGCAGCTAAAGATCCAGGGAACAAGCTTTATCCTGAGCACATGAAATCTGTTGTAAACACCCACTTCCAGAAAACATTTCTGTTTCCTCTTGAACCATCCCAATATGCAAACCTTGTTTTTTGGAATCAGTGGCCTAAGGTTGCAGTCTAACCTGTCCTCCTCTCCCCTCCCATCTTTTGCAGGTACACAGTCGTTGGGCAGCTCCATGGGCTCCTCAGTGCAGAGGTACAGTATTGCAATGTATACAGTATTGCAGTGTATACAGTATTGCAGTATATACAGTATTGCAGTATATACAGTGCAGTGTTGCAGTATATACAGTACAGTACTGCAGTATTTACAGTACTGCAGTATATACAGTGCAGTAATGCAGTATATACTGTACACTATTGCAGTATATACAGTACACTATTGCAGTATATACAGTGCAGTACTGCAGTATATACAGTGCAGTATTGCAGTATTTACAGTGCAGTAATGCAGAATATACAGTGCATTGTTGCAGTATATACAGTACACTATTGCAGTATTTACAGTACTGCAGTATATACAGTGCAGTTATGCAGTATATACAATATTTCAGTACTGCAGTATATACAGTACAGTACTGCAGTATATACAGTACACTATTGCAGTATATACAGTGCAGTACTGCAGTATATACAGTGCAGTAATGCAGTATATACTGTACACTATTGCAGTATATACAGTACAGTATTGCAGTATATACAGTGCAGTAATGCAGTATATACTGTACACTATTGCAGTATTTACAGTACACTATTGCAGTATCCTTGGGACACCCTGCCTCTGCTGGGGCCACTCCTGCACTGGCCTCTACCCTGGGCACCCCAGAGCCTTCCTGGCACCAGGGCACTTCAGCTGAAAGCAGAAGTTGTGGAAATCAGTTCTGTGTCTCTAGAGGCTGAAGAATGTTTTAGATCACAGAATATGAACGTCTAAGTCTCATCTCTGAACAAGGCTCTGTTTATTCATAGCTAATAACATCATATTATGCATTAAAAATTTGTTTGTTGATTATGCATTATTGCAGGGTATTGGTTTACCCTGAGTTTTATGTTACACTAAAAGTAGTTCTTTCTGCCTGTAGCTAATTCTCTCTGTCTCTCTGTAACAAAGGCCATGTGTTTGTATGTTCCTTTCCATCCTTGCAAGCTGCACAGAGGAGACAATCTTCCTGGTGGCTTTCAAGGTGCTTCCCTGGAGGAAGGATGTTTGTGGCACTGGGTATCTGGTCTCTGTGCCACTGACAGCTTTGGCTTTATTTTGTGATTGGGAGGCTCTTCACCTCTGCTCTCTGCTGTCTTCTCCTCCTTGATTTAATTAGTATTTGTGTTCTGCTTTTGGTTTGTGTTGTACTTAATATTGACAGACTATCTCCTTTAATGCAATAATAGTTTCCTTATTCTTTTATCAGAGCTGAAGAAGTCAAGCTTGTGCATATAAAGGCTGGCAAAAATTATCTGTGATCCTAAAAATTCCTAAATTAATATACATAACCATTGTGGTTTATTACTTAATATTGGTATTCTCATTTCTCAGGGGAGCCTTTGCAGACAGTGTGGTTTCTGTTAAAGGCATTCACTGCCTTTTCAGAGTTCATTAGATGTCTTTCTCTGGAAGGAAATGGTTCTTTACAGCATTAATGATTCCTGGTTATTTGACAAGGGGAGCAGCAGAGGGTGCTATGGCATGGCCTGCTTCAAAACAGATATGAGGATTTCTTGAATTTTATCTCAAAATGAGTGGATTGGCATTTTGTTTTTACTTTTCCTTCTCTGGTAAAACACCATGAAGCACCTAGACTGCATTGGCTAATAAATGCATTCATCCTTTAAAAAGAATCTATCCATTTAATAGATGCTTTGGGAAGGAGAAAAAAAAAAAAAAAGCAACTTTTTTCCTTTTTTTTTATTTTAGCATATCTGAAGAGAGCAGCAGTGTCTCTGCTGGCAAAGGTGTAACAAAAGTCAGCCGCACCTTCAGCTACCTCAGGAATAAAATGTCCAGCAGCAAGAAGAGCAAAGTAAGTGCTTCTTGTGATTTGTGGGATGCCCACAGGCAGCAGAGATGGGTTCTGTGTTTAAGTCTTTGCCTGAATTTCTTTTTTTTTACTTTCCTCCTTCCTTCCTTTTTGTTTTTTTAAAAGGGCAGGAATGTTTGTGGGGTGATAGGAGCTGGCTCCATGGGAAATTGTAGCACCCCAAAACTGAGCCCAGGGACTCCTGTGTGGGGCTCAGTGAGGCCAAGTGCTGGGTCCTGGATTTGGGTTACAGTGACAATGCTGGGTGGACAGTTGGACTGGATGATCTCAAAGGTCTCTTCCAGCCTTTATGATTCTGTGGTTTCACTCATTTCCCCAGAGAGAATAAATTTTGCCCTGGCATGAGTTAGGGCTTTGTAGTGATTAATGAGTCTAATTTTTACAGAACCTGAGAACCTTTAATAAAACAAGGACAGGAGCTGTAAGAAGGGACTGACTGCCTAAGGCTGTTTTGTCTTCTCATAATTTTTTTACTTTTGCCACAAAGTTCCTGTGCACTACAGGAGAAGTTGCTCAAACAATGATTTTAGTGATGGCCAATATTTATATTTTTCCCTTTTTTCCAGCCTTGAAACCCTAAAATTTAATTTGCTGAAAGTTAAGCCCTGAATTTCCTGGGAACAGTATTGATTACAGCTGAATTTCCTGGGAACGGTATTGATTACAGAAATAATTACATTAATGCTAAATCATTCACACAAATAGGCTGTTGTTGCTTTAGATTGTCCCTTGAAGGTTAATATATGTTTGGAGATTTTCTTGGCTTGGTTGGATTTTTTTGCTTGAATCTCACCTCAGTTCATCTGTCTGACAGAAGCTCAGAGCACTTTGCTGTCTTGTTAGGTGATGTGTGGTTAATGTGTTGGTAAATAATGTTGGCAGGCCCTTGAGAGGTGTGATGATGTGATGACACACAGATTCTTGTTATGGATCTGTCTTTCAAGATAGCCACAAGTGGCTCAGAGCTGCTTCTGGGCAGCTTTAGGACAATGCTCTTTCCTGCTGCAAAGTGCAGTGTTGCAAAAGTAAATCTGTTTATATAGAAACCTCTGTGCAAACACCAGTGAGAAGTCCAGGAGCATTTTGCACTGACTCTGAGTGAGAATGGAAGTTCATTAACTGGTTCTTGCACTTAATGTGAGTAATCTCTAAAGCAAGAACTGGAGAGAGAGGTAAGAGATGTGCTTGGGACAGAAGATGTAACAGCAATGCTTTTAGATACTTGCTCAGTGCAGTTTGATTTCACTAATTTCATGATTGTGTCTGAAAATGTTGATAAAGAGTTGCTCCAAAATCCCAGCCATAACACACACTACAAAAGTTGCAGCTCATACCAACTCTCATACTTTTACTGAATAAAAGCCAAAATATCATTCAAGTTACAATTTCTTGTCTGCTCATGGTGAAATGTTTGCATTATGTACGTTTTTAAGGCTCCACCAGTACATTTAAATAATTTGACCAAAAAATTCGTCGGAACACCGATTTCTCAGAAACATTATAAATGAGAAAAACCTGTAAGAGTTAAAAACAGAAGCAACAAAAGAAACCTTGAAAGGAGAAGTTTGACACAGGAAGTTGGTTTCTGGGCTGTCAGGAGGGAGGGAGGCTTCAATGTCTTTCCAGCTTAGTTTTACTTATCTCCTGACCTTCAGAAATGCAGTTTTCTCAGATGAAATTAAGTAAAATAAAGCACATATGAGCCTTTTGGAAAATGCAGAGAGTTATGTAAAAAACATTAAAAATAAAGGGGTGTTTAGAGCACTAACTGGAGGGGAGGGATACTGATAGAAGTGGGCAGGAATTTACCCTTGCCTGGCTTGTTATTTTGGATTATCAGTGAATCTCTTGCTATTAGCACAATGCCCTGATTCACATTTGCAGTTTTAAACATGCTCTATCTTTATCAGTTCTGGAAAAAGCCCTCTTTTTTTTTAATTTTGGTCAAGACTTTCTGAGAAATTACAACAATTAGCATGAGTAATTTCTCTTTTTCGTTGGCCTTGCACAGTAATAAGGCAGTGCTGTGCCAGCAGCAGCATTTCAGGGTGTATTGTAGGAGTTGCAAGTGTTTGAAAGGATTAGGAGACAGGGAATATATGTGACCTGCAGAGCAGGAGGAGCTCAAACACACAAAACCTCTCTGTCTGGGCAACTTCTGCAGCACTTTGTTTGCTGAAGTACTACATAGCAACACTGTGGTATGTGAAAATTCACTTTTTCTGTAGCCCAAACATCACAGAGTGTTTGATTTACTCCCCTCTACCTTTAAAAAAGGTGGTCTTATATTGACTTGTAAAACATTAATCACATCATTTTTTTCGTGTATGGGTTTGGTTTTTAGCTTTGAATTTTTTTAGCAGTGGAAGCTAAGGTAGGGCAAGATGGAAGCAACAGCAAAACAGCTAAAATCATCTTTAAGGAAGTCAGCAATCATCCTGCCCCTCCCCCTTTTGCTCAACTCCTCCGTGCTGTGCCTCCTGTCCCCGGCCCTGCCGCAGCCTCGGCATCGCCATGGGCTAGCGGGGAGCAGCTCCTGGTGGGGAGCAGTTCTCCTGCCCAGGGAAAGGATGTCCATGAAATGGAATAGATTCTCAGAAGTACCTCAGATAACAGTGAAGCTGGTGGGACTGAAGCACTGGGAGGTAAGAGCTGCGTGGTTCCTGGGGAGTGGGATCCTCTGCCGCGGCGCTGCCGCCGTACCTGCCGTGGTGCCTGCTCTGGCACATCACTTCAGCCACGAAGCTGGGCTCCACATCTCACTGGCAGCTCCAACAGCACAAATACAGTCTTGTTCCTACAGTCCTTCTTTAAATAAAGTTCCAGTAACTGCCGCAGGAGAAAAGAAAAAGCTGAAAAAAAAATCTCATTGTGAGACCTTGTCCTTAAGGGGAGTGGCTGGCAGCCCTTGTGTGGAGTTTGCTGTTTCCTTTCTGAAAGTGGTGAACTGATTTCCTGTTTTTTCCTGGGGCTTTATATGAAATTAAAATTAGACTTCAGAATTGCTGTGTTTTGCAGTGAACTTCAGGTAGGTTTAAAGTATAGGATGGGAAATCTCTTTCAGCGTGAGAGTCACAAGATTTGGCTGGAGCTTAGAGTGATCTTTTCTCCTGGAGCTTCACAAGGCTTGGAAATAGAGCAAAACTCCAGGCATCAGCTTGGTACCATCAGCCCAGACCTAAACTGCAGAGTTTTAGTTCCTGAATCCTCCCAGACTGGATATGGTTAAAGTGGTCGGGTCAGTGGGTGGAAAATGGGGCTGTGGAGGTTCCTGTGGGGTGGTGTGAGCCAAGCTGATGGCTCAGAGGAGGAGAAGATGTGACGCAATGCAGACTTCTTCTCTGGCAGCTTTTCTCCTTCAGACAGGATTATTCCATATGGTAATACTCCTAGTTTTGCTTATTTGCAGAACAAAACAGCGTTTGGGGCCAGTAAATAGACTTTCTGTTTGACACTTTGCAGGGAGAGACTCAGGCACTGGCATTTTGCCTGGGATGTGTTGGGAGAGGAGTCCTGAGGCTGAGTTCCTCGTGGTGTGAGTGTATCATCCAGGGCTCAACAGTTTCCCTGCAGTGGCTGCAGAGCTCCATCCCTCTTTAAGCCACTTCATGGCAGTTGCTCACGTGGGCAGCTCTGCAGCTCTCTGATATTCAGGCTGGGACAGTAACAAATAACAAAATGCAAAGATAACAAAATAAATAACAAAATGCAAAGATAAGCTGACAGAAGCCTTTACCAGTTTCTGGTAAAGATTCTCCTTCAAATGCCAGGAAATCTGCAGCAACAGTCAAAAGTACAGACCTGGAGTTGACTCGTATCATAAACATTTTGTAGGTTGGTATATGGAAAAACAAGGAGTTGTTGTAATTCAAATTCAGAGTTTTTCTGTGGAGTTTCCTTTAAAATTTGTTTGGAAGAATTCCAAATCCATGAAAGGCTGCAGGGAAAAATGTTTCAGATTTTTAGTATTTAGTATTTTCTATCTAAGGTAGAGACAGAAAAGAAGCAAAAACTCTGCTAAGAGTTGGAGAAACTGTCTGTGCTTGTCATCTTTCCAAAGCTGAGTAGCCTAGAGGTTGAGTCGTGGCCTGTGGAAGATCAGAGGCTCTTTTATGGTGTTGCTGTTATTCCCCAGCCTTTGTTTGGTGCCATAGGTTGAGAGTTTGTAAAAGATCCATTTTGCCAGAAAGCTTCACATAGTTACTTGGGGTTGCATGTAACTGTTGAAAAAGTTGCTAGTTGGAAGGAAAACAGAGGTGGAAATATTTTGGCAGTAAGGCAGTAGAGGAACTGAGGAAGAGCTTGTGTTCTCCATTAGAAATGCAGTTGAAAATCACGAGCCTTATGGTTTGGCCTTAAAAATTAGCTGTGTTGAAAGTCTGATACACACTACATGTGGTATTTGTATTTAACACAATTTATTTAAAGTGCTGAAGAGGCTGATGAGAGCCCAGAAAAAGAAAAGAGGTAAAGTCATTAAAGCCAAGCAAGTATAAAACAAAAGTAGAAGGAAGTAAGTGCCTTCAGAACAGACTCGGTGTCATCTGCAGTGGTGAGACACCTGTGTGAGTCAGTAGTATGTAAATCCACTTCCACAGGGGCTTTTTGAAGGGAGAGCTGTGCAGACACATGGCCATTGTTCAGGTGCACCTCGATCGATGCCAAAGGCAAACACTGAGCAATCTGTAACTGGGGGAGAGACCTCAGCCAGTGACAAGGCTTTGGGTCATTCTGTCTCGGCAGGAAAAAGAGAAAGATAAAGAGAAGACTAAAGAGAAGGACAAAGATTCCAAGGAGAAGGAAAAAGATAAGAAGCTGTTGAATGGACATCTCTTCACTGCAACCTCCGTTGTAGCCCAAGCAACCTGTTACCACTGTATGAAGCCTTTCAATAAGGATTCGTACTACTGTGCAAGTAAGTCGGGGGGGTTTCCCCCCCTTCCTTTTATTTTTCATTGAATCTGGCATGGAAAATGCAAACCTTACACTTTATTTTCCTTTTGCTTGAGGATATGAGGTGGGAGGGAGGCTTTGGAGATAATGATTCATGGAGTGGTGTGTTGCCTTGTGGAAACTGGACTGAAATGAGTCGTGGCTCAATGGAGGTGTCCTGAAACCTCCTTCCTAAGCCTGAGCTCAGCCATCACAGCAGGCCATGGGATTTTCTACCCCTTGTTGGGCTCTATCAGTCAGGAGAACTTTGGTTATTTCAGCTGCATGTAGTGGCCTGGAGCTGAGGTGCTTTGATAAGATGGACAAAGGACAGGGACAGCTGGCTTGGATCATGGCTTCTATGTGCAGTGGGGGGAAAAAAAGTCCCACCCCTCTGTGGTGTACTGCTTTAGTTCTCTGAAATACTGAGCCCACAGTGGGAACCACATGGTACAAAAAGGAAATGGTGACCCCCTGCTCCCTTTGAACAAGAAATTGCATCACAGGTCAAATGACTGGTACCTGTGTGCATGTGAAGGACATGCAGCACAGGACAGGCATGGTGGGAACCTCACTGAAGGTTTCTCAGAGATTGGGGATTTTGTTCTCATTTCTTATCAGATGGTTTCCCCTGCCTGCAGCTCGATAAGGTCAGTGGTGTTTGTGTGGTCAAGACCAGAATGCTGCTTGGCTCATGCAGCAGCCCAAAGCTATAGAACATGCAGACAAAACCCATTTTTTCTCCCACTATAGCTCAGTGGAAAAGGCTTTCCTCTCCTCAGTGTTAGTAATTTTTTTCTCCACTAGCTTAGAAATGAGTCAAAGCGACTGTGGGAACTGCTCCCAGGCTGGAGCCTTCCATTCCTGCTGGTGGATGTGAGCAGGGGAAGGAGCAGCCAGCTGAATCCCAAATGCCACTTCTGAGTTTCCTGGAAGAGATTTCAGCAGAGTTGTTTGTCTGAGACACGCTCTGTGTCAGCCTGATGGGAAATGTAAAACATCAACAATTACAAACCCTCAAATGCATCCTCTCCCTTTCCCCACTTGACTTTCTTAACAGCTCCTGAAGCCACGTAGAACATCAAATATATCCCAGTTTAATGCTCTATATGCTAATGAGTTAAAATAACCCAACAATGTCATGTGTTTTAGTAGAGATGTTCTTTCCTTGTTTTCAAGGCACGATGCACAATTGTTGCATGTTTTCTGCATTGGCCAGGAGATGAATGTCATAAAAGATTGGTGAAGGCCTATGTTGAGAGCTCACATCAGCGAGTGGTTCTTTCTCCCATTACATCTAAAAATCAGCCTCAGATGCTTTGGAAATGATGGATAAGCAGCAGCAGAGGCTCTGATCCTCCTGTGCTGATGTAGGCTGGTGCTACCACCACTGCTCTGTCTCACCTATGGATGACTTTTAATGCCTTTTAAAGCATGGGTCTTTTAAATCAATGTCTCAGCTTTTCAGTTATGCCTCCCCAGCTTCCTGAAACATCTACTCAATGCTGAAAGATTGTGCATACTCTGAAACAAATAGGCAAGCAAAAGACCCTGATTTTTAGTAGCATTCTGCCTTGTCTTTTTTCCTTTTTTTTTTATCAGTGATGCAGAAAATAAGGTTTTGGAGGTTGTAGTTATTAATACTAGTGACACACAGGAGTTAGAGGAACTTCCTTCTTGCTGAAGAGTTGAATTGGAGGAATAAAGTCCCTACAACCAGATTTTTTAACATGAATAACATGAAAAATCTTTTTTTTTTTTTTTTTTTTTTTTTTTTGCCAAATGGTACACACTAAAGAGCTGTCTTCATGCTTTCAAGGCTTGAGTGTGAATTTCATGATTCTGAATTGGCTCACTGCCTCTGTTCATGCACCAGAGGAGCAGGTTCTGTTCCTCCTTCTTGTTTCGTCTGCAGCTTACAGCACTTGTGGGTTTTTGCACAAGTTTTCAGGTTGCTTTGTTCTGTCTTCTTGTACACAGGAAATTGTGAGACATTGTCAGAATAGCAGCACCCTATGACCTTACCCTCATCTCTGTCACAGTAGCAGAGTTACTGGCTTTTGTTGAGTCATCCCAAATGTAAGAGATTCTAGAAGCGTGAGCATATTTTGTCATTCTGGACATAGAATTTTTTTGGTTTTTTTCTGCTTCAAGAAATCATTCAGAACTTCACACTTACTTGTAAAATACAGTTCATTATCTGTGTTAGTGTTGTCATGAATAAGTGGAAATACTTTTTTCTAAGCTACTGAATCTCATCTTGAGCTCTGATCTTGCATCTGCCAAAAGAGTTAAAGCCTGAAACCCATTTCTCAATTCTTATTGGAAAAAAAAAAAAAGGGGGAGTTTTAATCATCTTTGAAAACTTTGATTCCCAGAAATCTGCTGGCAGAAGTCATGGGCAGACTCAGAGCATTAAAAAAAAAACAAAACACTAAACCAAAAAATCAAGTCACTCAGTTTTTGCTCTGGCATATATGCAGCAAATTTCAAGTATGATGGTCTTTGCATTGGTGAATGTGATGCTCTTGGACCAAAACTTCAGTTTCCAGCAGGAAGTCCCAACCTCAAGGATTCCTGACAGATGCTGCTCCTGTTACCTTTTCTGGTAACCCTGCAATACAGCAGCACTTGGGTTCTGTGCCATAGATCTTATCCATGGTCTCTGAGTTTATGTAAATTAATTTCTCCATCCTCCTCCTGTCTTTTTCTTCTCATAGTCCTTGTCTTGATGAGAACAGTATTTGTCTTTTCAGAGAAATACTGGCCCTACAATTGATTTCTATTTCTGTCTCATGCTTCTGCTTTCCACCTTACTTTCAGAGGGATAATGCCATCAGGTTTTTTTTTTTTTCCTTTTTTTTTCTTTAATCTAAGACCCCTGACAATCCAACCTTGCATTGATTTTTAAACAGAACTTCCTGTTAAATTCTCTGAGGAAATATTATTAACAAAAGGCTAATTTTCCTGGAAAGCAGCCTCTGTCTCAACTAGTCATGCAAACCACAATGATGCCTAAAAGTTACAATTCTCAGTTGTGTAAGCTAACAGTTCAGATTACAAACAGCAAAAATGGACCTGTTTTCTGTGGGGTTTTGTTTAATTAATTGGTTTTTGGCTTTTGTTTTTTTTTTTTTGACAGACTGTAATGCAATTGTTCACAAAGGCTGTAAGGAGAATTTTGCTTCTTGTGCAAAGGTCAAAATGAAGGTAAGGGATTTCACCTACTCTACTGAAAATATATATGTGTGTGTGTGTATATATATATATACATATACATATATATATATATACATATAACACTTTCTGCCACATGTCACAAAGTTTCCAGTTTGTTGTAAAGAACTTCAGCCCCAGTGCTGAAGCTTTCACATAACGAAAACTGTTAAACATACTGTTTATATGAGCAATACACAGATTTCATTGCTTGCCCCAAATGCAAGGAACCTGCTTCTCCAAGCTAAGTAATATTTGTGCAATTATGATTTCAGTTCACTTCAGTATTGTCATCACTTTCACATTTTCATATTTGCTGCACATTTCTCCATCTGTTATTTTGCCCACTTCATTCAGAGAAAATACAAATATATTTTAAAATACACATACACTGAGAGGCTTCAGGAAAAAAATTAGCTTTTTTTTGTTTTAGTTATATGTCACAACCTTCTGGGAGAAGGGATGAAGAAATTAAAGTGAATTTCATTTTTCTTTCAGCCACAGAGAGGGATGCTGCAGGCACACGATACCTCTTCATTACCTACAGTAACCATGAGAAACAAAAGTAAGACAATTTCTTTCCCTCTGCTTTGGGAGTGGTCTGTGTCTGCAGTTCTTAAATGTTCTGACAACTGATACTTGATATTACGGAAAGTAAGGTTTTAACAAAGCAGGGATGAGAGCATCCTCTGTGCATGCTAAGCAATATTTGAGACTTCAGAAGTTGTACAGAGTTCATCCCCTTCTGCAGTGTCTGTGGAAAGTTTAAGGAAACGTAAAATCATCTCAGATTTAGAAAAATCACTTGTCATAGCTTGCAGAATGCCTATACCTGTTAAGGCCACAAAATTTGGAAGGTGCAGCCTATGTCCATGGGAGTCTGACATGGGAACTATGACTATTACGTGGAGAGGATTTAAAACACAATTATGTTTTGTTTAAATAGTCTTGAGCTTTGAGATAGGCAAAATAGAAAGTTTAATTTTGAGTAGGAGGAATACTGACAAACTGTTCCTGACTTTGCTGAGATAAACACTGCACTTCAGAGTGACCCAGTGTCACCAAGGATGAAGAATAGGTGTGAAACAGCCCAGACTGGTTTTGTAGGGCCATGATTTGATAAGCTTAAGTGATAAGCTTTGACAAAATAAATGATAGCTTATATGGAATCACACTATATAATACAGTTGTAATCACTGTGGTATTTATTATGAAGTTCAGAGGTGTTGCTCCAGATAGCAGAAATGCATCTGAAGAAGGAGAAATCTGGAATTAATATGAACAGATTACCTAAGGGTATGTGATTGTATAATGAAATCAGGATTATCATTTCTCTGTGGTACCTATTGATTAGAGAAACCTATCTCAAAGAGTTTGACCAGAAACAGCAAGATTTATATGACTATGGGCCCAGGGAAATAAAAAAGCAACATGGTGGATTGTGACATGTGATTAATTATCAAAACAGTTAAATTCAGTTCCCCATGTGTGTTTCTGGAGTTGCAGATCCCACCTGGGTAACTCAAGCACAGTGCAGTGAGTTCTGCTCAGGTGTCAATGATCTTCCCTTCCTATGGCTGTTCCTAACTGCTGACACCCCCTGGGGGTGATTCTAGAAAGAAAAGGCAGTGAATTTCAGAGTCAGGATCCTTTTAAATGGTCCCCATGCCAGTGAGCAGTGGTCCAGGTGTTTGCATGGGCTGACTGTTGTCCCACCCTTCTGTTGCAGGCTCGCAGCCCAAGGAGCGGCCGCGCTCCGCGATCCTCGCGCCTGACGAGAGCACCGTCACCTCCAGCTTCGGCAACAGGAGATCACAGCAGCCCTCTGCACTCTCCAAAAGTGTCTCCATACAGAACATTGCAGGGTAAGGCTCCTCCCTGCACACCTGACTCTGTGTGCGTGTTATCTGACACCGCTGACATGAAGAAATGCGATCTCACTGAAAATAAGTTCACGTGCTGTGACTCGCGTTAAAGGTACAAAGGGGATCACAAACAGAGAAATAGTCATGTTCTATATGATACCATCAGTTATCCTCTGCACAATCTCATGTGAGTTAGTTTAGTCATGGCAGGAGTTCAGAGGCACAGCTGAGTTGGCCTGGTAGATTCAAGGCCACTTCCCAGGGATGCTTTGGGCTCCTAGGAAGAAATTCCCTTGCCTTGGGCCAGGTGCTCTGACATTTGCAGGTCAGGTGTAATACTAACTTTTGTGTCCATAACAAGAGGGTGAAGGCACAGAGCTGCAGTCTTCCTGTTTTTAGACTGCACTATACATAATTCATTACAAAAAAACATAGAAGAAAATCTAATTTATGGTTCCTACCGTATTTGCATATTGAGCAGTTCTACATGTGAGGCAGGGACTGGCTTATTCTGGGCAATTTGGATGTCCTGGCTATTCATTGGGAGCTTCAGTCCATTTTCTGATCTTTCCCAGGGCTAGTGATAAGGATTCTTGTAGAGCCTTTAGTGTGGTGTTTTTTTGCACTGTTTGCTCCAAGGGCAATGAGGATGGGACGTGACTGGAATGGAGTTGTCCAAGCTATGAAAGCTCAGGAGTGGTTCTTTATGGAAAGTACCATCACTCACAACTGTAGCACTTACAGCTTCTCAAGCTCCAGTGGGTAGTTAGTAAACAACACATAAAAGCACATTTCTGTACATAACCGTGCAGTGCTGGCTTTGTTTTTCAATTCATATTTTAAATGCATTTATTCTGCTTATCTGAAAGTACATTTGGCTGGGTTTTTGTCATAAACAATATTGTGTGTTCTGTTTTCCTGCAGAGTTGGGAATGATGACAGCTTAATACACACTTGGAAATTCCTGTCGCAGTCAACAGACTCTTTACATAAAATCAGCCGGGTTAATGAATCCATGGAGTCGCTGGTTGATGAAGGTAAGAGATCTCCATGGCATTTATAGGAGAAGGAAGGTCTCAGTGCTGCTTTCCAGAAATAGAAAATCCGTTTTCAGCAATTGTCTTCTTTTATAATGGACAATTAAAGTGCATTTATTTTAATCTCAGAATATTAGTATGATAAACTAAAACAAAGCCCCACATAGTAATTTCTTTAGCTCATTGAATTATGGAAAAACATTTAGAAGGTTTCAGTTACAGTTGAGTTACTTGGAATTTAGCTTAGGAACAAACATTTCCTCTTCTGTTGTGGTTTTTTATTTAACTGCAATGTCGTTTCATGGCAGATAAGGAATACATTATCTGAGCTAGAATTTGGTCCATGTGAAAACAGTGAACAGGAAACTAGGAAATAACTTTTAAAATGTTTTTCATAACTACTCTTTATGTGGTATGTGATCATTTGTGTCAGTAAAGGAGAATGTGTGTGATGTCTGTGGTGTGACTGACAAAGCCTAAACCTGAACAATTAGACAGGAATCTCAAATGGGACAAATTACCCACATCTTAATGGCACTTTTATTGCTTTGTGAAGGTGCAGACATGAATGAAGGACAGCTCATGGGAGACCTGGAATTAGATTCCAAGCAGTTGGAGGCAGAGTCCTGGAGCCAAGTAGTGGACAGCAAGTTCCTACAGCAGCAATACAAAGATGTTGTCAAGCGGCAAGATGTGATTTATGGTGAGACATCTTCACTTTTCACTCACTGTAAACAGCTCCTTGATAGGAACATTGATTTGGTTTCCTCAAAAGCCAAACTTTAATTCTTGAAGTTCCTAGAAATGTCATGTATTCTGTGAAAGCTGTCTTTCTGCATTTCACATATCCAGAAGCCATCAAAACCCCCAGGAATTGCCTCTCCTTATTTGTCTGCTGATGGATTTCAAACTGGGTTCCACCACAAGCAACTAACTACGAAGTCTTTTCCTGAGGGATTCAGGAGCCATCCTGTATGGCAAAAGGGGGATGGATGTGTGGAGGCTGGCAGTGAGGTGTTAGGAAGGAGAAGATACCAGGGCTGAAGGTTGAGACCCCAGCAGCAACATCCAAAGCTCTCTGCTGGAATGCCTCTTCCCCCCTGTTTCTCTCACACATGAAACTCTTGACTGATGTTACAATTCCTAACATGAAATTTTTTTGAAACCACTTAGAGGAGCCCAGTTATGGCAAAGCTTTCTAATGGCAGCTTTTCCTTGTGCTCTAACCCATGAACTCTTGTCCTCATCCCATGCAGAGCTGATGCAGACAGAAATGCACCACGTCCGCACCCTGAAGATCATGAACGATGTGTACAGTGCAGGCATGTTGAAGGAACTGCAATACGATCAGCAAGCCGTGGACAAGCTCTTTCCCTGCCTGGAAAACTTGCTGCACATCCACAGTCAGTTTTTCCAGCGGATTCTGGAAAGGAAGAAGGAGTCACTGGCAGACAAAAGTGAAAAGAACTTTGTTATCAGGAGGATAGGTGACATCCTAGTGAATCAAGTAAGTGCTGGAAAATGTTTGCAGTTCTGAGAGCACGGCTGGAAGCCAGATGCTTTTCCTTCCCTCCTGTTTGTGCCTGTCAGATAAGCATAGCTGGTGGCACCTTTACTCTTCACACATAAAAATCTTTGTCTCTGCTTTTTGAAGCACTTTATGCTCTTTGAGAGGAAGGTCCACTGTTGAAAATTAATTTAGTTCATTTTGTGGGAAAGAGAAGCGTTCACTGACAGGCACAAAACAGTTTGACCACAGACTGGAGTGTAGACAGGAGCTCACAGCTAAATATGCCCAGTATGTTTCTTGGCTGCATTACTGACCTGGTGTTTAACTCAGAGTGGATCATTTTACTTTTCTTTATCCATGGTTTCTATCTTCTTTTTGTCTTGTTTTGACTCTTTTTGTTGTTGGCTTTTAAGCCATGGTAGTGGAGTTGCAAATTTTGCTGTGGGTGTGAGCTCAGTGAAGTCCCCAGTGCAGCTCTTTACTCTCTAGAGATCTGCTTGCATGGTCGAGCATGCTTTGGACTAATTTGATTTCATCAAGTTCTTCTGAGAGCCTGGCAGGCACTGCTGGGATGTCACCCCAGGAGCTGAGTGCAGGCTGGAGCTGTGTGTCCCTTTCTTTGCAGTTCTCTGGGGAGAACGCTGAGCGAATGAAGAAAACGTACGGCAAATTCTGCGGGCACCACAACGAGGCCGTCAATTACTTCAAAGATCTTTACACAAAGGACAAGCGCTTTCAGGCATTTATCAAGGTAGGACCTGGAAGGACAGATGTACCCAATGGAAAAGATGTGTCCTTTCTGCATTCTGAGGGAGTGTTTTGCTGCAGAACTGAAATTTTCTTCTTTGTTCCTTAGAAAAAAATGAGCAGCTCCCTGGTGAGGCGTCTTGGGATTCCTGAATGTATCTTGTTGGTAACACAGAGAATTACAAAGTACCCAGTCCTTTTGCAAAGGATACTGCAGTACACCAAAGGTAGGGACCAGCTCCTCTATTCTAAGCTTGTATTTGTTTGTCCAGTGTGAAGTTTTGATCCTTTACAACTGAAGCAGATTTTTTTACCAGCTAATCCAGTCATTGTTGTCTCACATCACTGCAAAGAGATAACTGAATTCGGTACTTCCACTTAGGATTAGTTGTTTAGGTACCTTGATTTAGTTGTTAGAAGTCTGTCTGTAGCTAATTATGGAGCAACATGCCTAGACTCCAAAGTCTCCTAGCTTGGTTTTTTTTTGGTATTGGCTAAAATATTGTGCATTTCATCTCTACTGTCTTATATGCAAAGTGTATTGGAATATTCTCCAGTCTCAACCATGTATATGTAAAGGGTTTTGTGAAGCTCTCTTTAAGGCGGAAAAATGTCTCATAAAAATGTCTCATTTAAGTATTAAAAAGTTATAATGTGGGAACTTGGGAGAAGAGGAAGGAAGGAAGTAAAAGTGGGAAGTTAGATTGCACAAAGTCAAATCGAGATGTTTCTGTTTCTTTTTGAAAGAAAATGAAGTGGAGCATGAAGACTTGACTCAGTCATTAAACCTTGTTAAAGATGTGATTGCTGCAGTCAACAGCAAAGTCAGCAAGTATGAAAAGAAAATGCGTCTTGGGGAGATTTACAACCGGACAGACAGCAAGTCCATCATGAGGATGAAGAGTGGCCAGATGTTTGCAAGAGAGGACTTGACGCATCGGAAACTCATCCGAGATGGGCCTGTTTCACTAAAAAACTCAGCTGGCCGATTAAAAGGTAAGGCTCTCCTGCCTTTTGCTGAGGAAGATGCAGCTCACCCTCTCTGGGTGTAGGATTAGTGCTCAGATCAGTGCCTCCCCCTTGATGTATTCTTTTCCTTTGATAGATTGTGACACCAGCTTTCCCCTGCTGTACCCCCACTCCCCATTGCATTTCCAATTACTTGTGTGGGTTCTGAGGTGATAGAGAGCTGCTTTTCCTCCTGGTGATTGCATGTCTGCTGAGGGCTCGGGTGGCAGTGACACCTCAGTGTGTCACTGACTTGCTGAGGGATGCTCTGGGCCAGGAGGACACGACGGGGCTGCAGTTGCCCAGAGCATGGAGTCAGATCTCCATGCCTGTGCCACGGTTCCAGGAGTTTTGCTGGCTAAATGTAGAACCCAGCCTCAACTTTCCAGGCCTTTCCTTCCTTCCAAGGGCTGTGGCATGTCTGCAGCAGTACCATCCCAGTTTCACTGGGATCCAGGGAGGTGTCCCAGGTATTTGTTGCTCTTGAACCTCGTAAGCTATTGACACAAACTGTTCAGGAGAGGCTCTGGTGTCCCTGCAGCTCCCTCTTTTTGGGTCAGTGTTTTCTTGACTTGCTTTTTGTTTGTTACCAGGTAGAAGTAGTTTTTTAAAGGTGCTGTGCACTGAAGTTCTCTAGTGAGCTAAAAGCTAAATCTCCCAGGGAAACTTTCAGCTGGGACCACGGTAGCAGTAAGAGCAGACAGGGCTGTGCCTCAGGCTTGGCAGGAAGGCTGGGCTTCCCTTCCTCCCTGCAGCATTAGCTGATTAAATTATGGTCTGTGGGCATGAATGGGGCCTGGGAGCCTGATGCCGTGCTGTGCAGGGAGGTGGTGATAACGTGGAATTCCGTATGGGGTATGATTTATTTTGAGGTTTTGGAAGCAGGAAGTTTACAGATGATTTCTAGGCACCCAAGACTGCTACTGCCTTCAGATGGTGGATGAAGCAAGTTCTGCTGCTGTTGTGAAATCGTGATAAGCACAGGCTCCATTTGCATTTCTTAGTCATAGAAATGCACAAACATGTCTGTAGTGCAGACTCCCAGGGAAGGTAGGTCCTGCAGGCAGGCTGCAGACCCAGGGAGAGAGTAGATTGTTCATATATTCAGGTTATTTTGTGGTATTTGAAATGGAGCACCAAAAATTATAGGAGGAACTTTTGTTTAAGGGTTTTAGCATTTCCACTCTTGCAAAGTGCATGGAACAGAGAAAAAGGCAGTCAAATGCCGCCTTCTGCAAACCTCCCAGAGCCTGGATTTCATTTTGCAGCTTTGCTTAAAGTTTAGTGGTTCTTTTATCTGGAATGGATTCTGTCTTCCCAAAACAGACTGGAAGGATTTACCCATGGGATGATTTAAGTTTCTGGTTTGCTTCCTTTCTGTCACAAGATTTCCCAAGTACATTACACAAAACCTCTTTGTACTGAGGGGTCTGGGTGGGGCATTACACTTGGTAGTTGCTGTGCAGCTTTATGATATGTTATTAGGAGACTTGGAAGGCTCTACGTGTACTCTGGGAAAAGGCTGATTTAAAATCCTCTGTTGGCTTGAGGCTGTGTTTCCTTCTCCCGTGAAAGAAAGCCAGGTCCTGTGTCTCATGCAGGCTCCCCTCAGAGTTGTGTTTGTCTGAGAGCAGAATTACTGGTGGCTCCTGAAGTCAGTATTTCCTGGGAAAGAAACTGCAGCTGACAAATGTTGTTATTGCACGATAATTTACACCCTGCAAACCACTCATCAAGAGAACCATAAAATCCAAAACTTCCTGTGCAGATATTTTGCTTGAGGGCTGAAATATTGATTGTTTGAGAAAACAGAGCTTCTATTGAATAAATGTTTCTGGCTTTCACTGTTATGCCCATGTCTTAACTGGTAGTGAGCATGTGGCTGGAGAGGAGCACCCCTGCTCCCATGGGTGAGAGCAAATCCTGCAGGATGCCCAGGTGCTGATGTGTCCTGCTTCATGCAAAGCTGGTTCAGAGCTACCCTGATCTGGCATCTCCAGGAACTGCCCTTGCTCCTCCTGCCAGCTGGGAGGTTGATCTTGTTTTCAGGATTTGCAGAACCAGCCCTGCTTCTCCCCAGCACTGGTGTTACAGCAAGAAATCTGGGGTGAGTTGTGTGGTTATACTGCAGTGGTGTGCTTCTTCTTTTGCAGAAGTCCAGGCTGTTCTCCTCTCTGACATGCTCGTATTCCTTCAGGAGAAGGACCAGAAATATGTCTTTGCCTCACTGGTAAGGGTTCAACCTTTTTTCCTCCTTACTTTCCTATGTGAGAGACCCCGATGATGTATTGTGCAGCAAAGCCAGCAGTTGCCTGCTAAACAACTTAATTTTCTTGCTCAGAACATTTTTGTTTGCTGAGCAGACTCCATTCTTTTTGATGGGAAAACATGTCTTCATGCCCCACCTCCCCTTCCTGCAGTGCCTTGGCACAGCTGATAATTGGCCTTGAAAACCTGACTGTCACTGGAAACACTTGTGCTTTGCAGTTTGTGCACACTGGAGCAGTGAGTGGGCTGGGAGGGGGTGAGGGGATGCAAACTTGGCAAAAATGAACCTCAGCTGAAGGAAATGTCCAAATGCGCTGTGAGCTGCTGCAGGGGGCAGTGAGGTGGAATGCCAGGGCAGTAAATTCAACAAAACAGCTTGAAAATAAATGTCAGAGAAATACATTTGTAATTTGCAGGAGCAAAAACATTAGGCTTGAGGGCAGGCCCCCAAAAAGGGCTGGGCACATTGACCTGATAAAGAAAACCTGGTGCCTGATGGAGTCTGCTGGGCTGTACCTTCCAGGCATGGTCTAGACTGGATAAACCTTGTGACCTTTCCACTCTGAGCATTTTGAAAGCTGATAATTTGTTATTCCAGTTCCACCAACCCTCTGCACGGGCTCAGTGCCCTGCACAGGGGAAGCTGATTTGCATACAGGCACTGCCAGTGAACCAGATCACCCCAGCTGCAGCATGTGGTACAATGCACAAAGGGGCTGGCTCCTGTGCAGGTGACACAGCAGCCTGGGGACACTGTAACCCAGCAGACTGATGACACAGAGACACCTAGCACATGGTGAACATCACCTCACACACAGGTTCTGACACAGCAGACAGCTGTGAGTGTCTGAGAACAGCAGAGGTTTTGTGGGATTTGGAAACAAGGCTTTATCCTGGAGAGAGATGGTGAAGACACTGTGTGTAAGCAGGTTAGCAGGTTGCACCAAGTGTAAGGAGCTGTGATATTAATGACAGGAAGAGTGTGGTCAGTAGAAAATGAGATCAGAGCAAAATATGGTACAGTTTACAAAACCACAAATTCAATTTAAAATTAATTCTTTCTTGAAATGGAGTGAGGTAAAATTGCTTTTCCTACATAACTGTTGGAGGAAAGCAAACCCATCCCTTTTGTTTGACCCCATTTAAATGATTTTGTTTTTTTAAATTAACCAATATGTTCAGAAAATGTTTACAAACCTGAGAGATGTAGCACTATGGTTTATTGAGACCTTTTCAATGCTAGTTTGAATCTGGGAGCAAGCTCTGGTCCCCCTCCTCACCCATTTCTTTCCATCTGAAGGACCAGAAATCCACTGTGATCTCTCTGAAGAAGCTGATTGTACGAGAAGTGGCCCATGAAGAGAAGGGTTTGTTCCTGATCAGCATGGTTGGAAAGGATCCCGAGATGGTGGAAGTCCATGCCAGCTCCAAAGAAGAGCGCAACGGCTGGATACAGATCATTCAGGACACAATGCACACCATGTAAGGCACTCAGCTCTTCTTGTGGGGCAGGGGGTGCACTGGGTGTGTTCCTGTAGTAATTGAGCTGTGTCTCCTGTCCAGGGATAGAGATGAAGATGAAGGAGTCCCCTGTGAGTCTGAGGTTGAAAAGAAGTTGTCCGATGCGAAAGTGAGAGGGCTGAAAGGTAAAATCTGCCTGGAACAGAGCTGGGGAGCCCCTCTAGAAAAGTGTATGGGAGTTTTTTGGATTGGGTTTTGTGGTCGAAGTGTGACTTTTTTCAGTCCTGCATCCAGCAAATAACTGCAGTCCTGGTTTGCAGATTGCCTTCCTTGCATTATTTATTTTCCGAGCCTGCTGTGCCAGATTGCCCAGGGCACTGTCGTGCTGCCAAGCCCAGCACATTTTGTCATGCTCCACTAGATGGGGCCAATATCTCAGGAATAGCTCAGGTTTCCTTGCCAAAGCTTTTATTTTGTCTTCATCCCTGTTTTCTGTTCACCCCCACAGAACAACTTCAGCAGAAGGATAAACAGATCCTGCTCTTGCTGGAGGAGAAGACGAAGATCTTCCAGGACATGGCAGACAGTTCTGTGCAGGAGGAGACATCAGGCTCCAGGCTGCTCTTCAGAGCCAACACAGAAGAGGCTCCAAAAGGAGAGGAAATCATGAAATCAGCAATAAATGAAAGTGAGCCAGTCATGTGACATGTAAATTATAGTAACCAACTATAATTGGTTACTATATAGTAATCAGTGAAGGCATCATTTCTCAAGCACCAGTTTTGCAGGGGACATCTTCTCTTTGTCAGAATAACAAGATAAGGAGAAACTGTTCCTCCTGGTATTGTCTCAGGGACAGATCATGAGGATCAGGAAAGGAAGCAGGTATTGTGGGGGTGTTGAAAGAAGGCAGGAAAGTCAGCACAAAGAAAACCATGCACTGAACCTTCTTTGGGGTCAGGAACAGCATGGGATTTATCCTTGGCTGAAATTTGGACCATCCAGGCTTTTGCTGTTCTTCAGTCTCAGCAAGATGTGAGGGTGGGGTTCGGGTTCCAGCAGGAGCTTGTGGTGCCTGCAAGGGACAAGCAGTTCTGTTGACAAGGGCAAGGGTAGGTGGAAACTCAGGCTACTTTCCAGTATGATCTTTGGAGAAGCTAAAATTATTAAGTGCTGTTGTCAGAGAACACTGAGGTTGCCTGAAGGAAGAGAGGGAGGTGTAAGTTTTTTGCAGAGCTCCAAGAGTTGGAGTTAGTGGTCAGACAGAGGGAGTTTTTGCAGGGGCAGTGTGTACTGTTCACGTCATTGTCACAGAAACCTAGATTCTTTGTACACCAAATAATTTCTGACCTGAGCTCAGGTGGGGATGAAAATAGCTCAGAAACCTGAGGTGGGCTTTAACAAAGACTTTGCTGCTTTTTATCAGTTGAACTGCTGCAACACCTGGTGAACAGGAGCCTGGGCACTGCCCTTGGACAGCAGGTCAGCAGCACTGCCATGGATCAGGAGGGAGGAGTTGGCCCCATCTCACTCCCTAGAAGGGCAGAAACTTTTGGAGGATTTGACAGTCATCAGATGAACGCCTCCAAGGGTGAGTAGTTCTGTGTGTGCTCATCAGAATTTGTTAATAACACACGTCATCGTATCCTCTTGCTTCAGAAGGACTTCAGCTGGTGGTTTGGGTTTCACAACTCCTCTCCAACAATAGGTGACTGATTAAATCACAGATTAGGAAAAAAAGCTTATGTACAGGTGGATTGATGGTAGCTGAGAACCTGTGGCTATACAAGAGTTAAACATCTGAACTCTTCACTCCTCTCTGTGCTCTCTCTAAGTAATACTTGCTATTTTACTTATGTGCCACATGAAAGCATTTGGCTTCTCAATAAATTAGTTTCTTCATGTTATTATTGTAATATCTTCAGGTCTGTTCTTTGTTCTTCACTTTTCTTCCCAGCAGGAACCCGATGCTGTTGCATTTACAAATGGATGTGCATATTGCTGAATCAAACACCTTCTCCCCTGTCTCTGCTCTCTGTGCATTTATGTTCCACCTACGTCTGCATGTATTATTCCTCCAATTAAGTCTCTCCCAAAGAAATGCGTGACTACTTATTTCAGCTGCATACTTGGCTGCTTCCCAATGCCCTCTTTCTTTGCTCTAGTCATCAGAAACTTCCCTGTCCTCAAATTCCTTTCTCTGTGGTCTTACTCACACTCCCAATACAACCAGTTTTGCTGTGCTAGTGTCTGTCTCAGCACTGGCATCGTTGGACCTCGTCTGACCTCCTGCATTAAAGGAGCAGTGTTAGCTCCAGACAGTCAGACATGAGAACTATGTAGAGGCTTTCCCAGCTCTCCTGGAGAGCCCCAAAGGCCTTGTCATCATGATGACAAAATACTCACACTGGAGGGGTTTGTTGAGGGCTGTGCCTCTCTCTGTTGCAACCATGAATGGGACAACCTCGGGCTGTTGCCCAAAATCTAAGTTTTCTGTAGAAATACCCTCTGATTCTAATTCAGTAGTTGTAGGGTCTTGGGAGATTTTGGGAAAAGAATGCAGGGCCTATTTGTTCTGCCCAGGAGGTATGAAACCTGGCATTCTCTCCAGTTCTTCTGTTCACAACCTGTGAAACCTCGGGCAAGGCTTATAACCTGACTCCCCTTCGTTCTCCCCTCCAGCAAAGCAGAAGGGAGGAGTTTCCTCCTGCAGAGAGGTGGAAGGTCCCAGGACGTGGCGCAGGAGAGCAGGTCTGTTAGGAGGACTTGAGGGTCAGCCTCTAACAGCAGAGCCAGCCTCGGGGGCGGGGGGAGGAGAGGGCCTTTCCACCAGCTGTGGTGTCCTTCACACTGCTGCAGATTCAGGTTTATGTCAAGTCTTTAAGAGTGGCAGAAGGAAAGTCGCCGCTGCAGGTGTGGGTTTTCCCCATGGGGTGCATCTCAGCTGGCAACAGGAGTACAGTAGTCCTGGCAAGAGCTAGAGGATGGAAGGTCTGTCAGTGACTCCTTTTGAGCAGAAAGGCAGCACAGGGGGAGGGTCAGAGCCCTCGTGTCCCCACAGGTCAGCTCAGTCTTGCTCAGGAGCACTGATATGAGCCACCCAGGGGGAAGTTAGAAAGAGAAGCCCAGTGTCCCTTTGAAGATCCAGGTATCTGATAGCTAAGGTTAATGATAAATTGTTAGCATAGAATTACACAGGGTGTTGCACAGCAGTATCTGACCCAGATGTAAATTAACTTGCACAAGAGAGGCATTGAAACTATACCTGCAATAATATACCCTGATATGATTCTGTTATCATCCTCCATCTGCTCTTATGCTGCCTCATGTCTTCTCAGCAAGTATTCTGTGGTAGTAGACAGCAGTGCAGGGGCTAGACAGAGCACCAGCTAATAGCTGAATTTATCAGCACGTTCTCTGAAACCAAAGTCAACCCTAATCTAAATTCACATCCACTTTTGCTGGTAGTGCTGACGTGTTCTGTATATTTAGGGCTCAAATTCATTTAGTTAAAATGTCAAGAGCTCTGTGTCCGCTTTTGTGGAACACGTGAGTTTCCTGTATTGAATTCCTCAGACTTTAGCAAGTTCATCTCTGCCTTAAAATGTTGAATAACTGATGTCAATGCTGGCTTCTTCCTTTAGGTGGAGCGAAAGATGAAGGCGATGATGCTCAGGACCTCCGGAGAACAGAGTCAGACAGCATTTTAAAGAAGGTATGGCTTGATTTGTGTGTCTGCCACCACTGAGTTCAGATTTCAGGAGCGACAGCTCTAGCCTTAAAAAAATGCCTGAAAATTTATTGACAATTAGATACATCCTAATAAGTTAAAAATAAAATAAAAGGTGAAATATGCACGCAAAACCACTGCCTTGAAAACCGCTGCAAATCAGTTGTACTCTTTAATGGCACAGGTTAGCTACCATCTGTCTGCAGGTCAGCCAAAGCATTTGCTTAATTTTGCATTGTTATTGAAATGCTAAGGTCAGCTACAACCTTGCACCTTTTCTTTCTGGTGATCGATCCATCACATAACTGCAAAATAATACCTAATTAACATTTTATTCTATATGATTCTAAATGGCCTAAAAACATGCATGAATTCTCCCAAAATGGAAGGTGGAGGGGAGTGTTTAATGGATGTGTCATTAGTTCAGCTTCAGAAGACATTTGCTATGATTTTTCATTGTCCTCATATTAAATTTGTGATCTTGTCATAGGGTGGAAATGCTAATTTGATGTTCATGCTGAAAAGGGATAACGAGGTAAGAATTGATTCCATTGCTCAGCCGTTCCCTTCATTTAAGTGGCTAGAGAATTTGTCTCAATAGGTGATAATGTAGAAGAAAACACATTTAATTTGCTGAAGCACATCTAGACTTTTAAATATATTAAGCTGAACCCACTGTGTCATTTATTTGCTTAACCTTGGGTGTTTAGACAGAGAATTCACTGATTGTCATCTGCTTGCCAGCAAGATGATGTGTGCTGATTATAAGCAGCAAGGGTTAATTACCACCAGGATGCACAGGGCTGTATTTATTGTGCATCTGCAGACAGAGAGAGTTTAATTTTATGTTGCAGGTGCAGTGAATTGGGGCAATTAGATTTCTATTCTCCCTTTGATACACATTCATAACTCCCAATTAGCATTAATGACAAAATGAGAAGCAGTTCTCTTAATACTGGCTATCACTCCACTACTGCAAATACTGAAGTGCTCGTTTTTCTTCTTGAAATTAATTGTAGGGTAAGAGAGATTCAGAGAAATTTTTAGCTAGGCTAAATTTAGGGATAGAGCATAACTCCAAAGTAACTTGCTCTGTATTGATGCATGAGGTGTTTGCATTTCTGTATTTTCAGAAAGCCTCCAAGAACACACCTTCTGCACTTGTGTTGCCTGCTCTAGTGCAGCTTTTCTGCCTGGTGGCAATGGGTCCTTGTATGGGTCAGCTGGGGGAGAAGGGTACCAATAGTCCACATCTATTTAAAGATTGCTTTTTTTTTTTTGTCCTGAAATTTTTAAGTGAACTTCTGGGCATCATCTCAATTATTCAGCTTGTTCTTGAGCAAGCTGATGTGGAAAATGGTTTGCAGAGACAACCCAGGGCTTCCCATGAGCTCTGTGCCAGGAGGTGCCTCTGCAGATGTTCCTTCCCCTGCTGCAATGACAGCTAGGGAAGGGAGGAAGGTGATGCCAGGCACTTCTGGGAGATGTTCAAGGGATCTATTGGTGTACTGGGGGCTGATGCCATCATTGCAAGGGAAGAGTGAGGAAAAGCAGGTTGCAGAGGGATGGCTGTGCAGCTTGTCAGACCCACTGGTGGGACACAGAGCAGGAGAAGGTGCTGTCCACGTACCCAGCACCCAGTGAGATCTAACAGCAACACTTCTGTTTTCTTGCAGCAGGTCCTCCAAACCATTACCAGCCTCCATAAGCTGCTCACTGCTTTGCAGGTAGGCTTAGCCCTTCATCCTGCTCCCAACACACTGCTTTGCCTGAGCTGCTTGTTGTGCTTTGCCCCTTGTGTCACAGCCCTGCATGGCTGGACACTCCTCGACCAGCTTGCAGGCTGTGGGAATGAGCTGCTGCCTAAGGGAACCAGTGCTGGCCTGAATTTGGGAAGCTGCTGGGGGAGCTGCTTTGCCAGCACGCTTTGGTAACCAGGCAGCAGTGCTGGGCTGGGATCAGAAGGGCTTCAGAGGTTTTCAGGGATGGGATGGGGTGCTGCAGTGATCTCTGTCCCCTCTGCCAGGTCGTGGTGCTGCAGCAGGACACCTACATCGAGGACCAGAAGCTGGCTCTGAGCGAGAGGGCTCCGAGCCGAGGCTCCTCCCGGCCCACCTCGCTGCTGGAGCAGGAGAAGCAGCGCAGCCTGGAGAAGCAGCGCCAGGAGCTGGCCAACCTGAAGAAGCAGCAGACGCAGCACCAGGAGGAGAGGAGGAGGAGGGAGAAGGAGTGGGAAGTGCGTGAGAAGGAGCTGGCGGAGCACGAGGCCGAGCTGGCGCAGCGCGAGGAGCAGCTGCAGAGGCAGAGGCAGGAGCTGGAGCGGGAGCGGGAGGAGCTGCAGGTGAAGAAGGCGGCCTACCAGCTCGACCTGGAGAGGCTGCGCGCCGCCCAGAAGCAGCTGGAGAGGGAGAAGGTGCAGCTGAAGCAGGACGTGGAGAGATTTGCTCAGATGCGGCAGGAGCCCGACCACAACCAGGTAAAGGTGCCAACAGCCAGGCTCCTTGGGAAGCTGAGCCCTGCAGGGAGCTCCCAGCCAGCTCCTGGGTGAACTGCATGCCCCTCACAGCTGCCAGACATCTGGGCACTGCTATTTATAACTGGCTCTTCCCCTTGCATGTGGTGTGCAGCGCTGCTGGTTTTGCACCTCTGGAGCTGCTGAGGCACTGCCACTGTTGGTGCTTCATGGTGTATTGGAGGTGCCTGGCCAGTGAGCTCTGCCCACTTCCCTGTCTGTGTTGAGGGATGGCAGAGAGCAGGTGGCAGGCAGTCCCAGGGGGTTGACACTGCCTGATGTTGGCCTTCACCCAGGAGCTGAGCTCTGAGGAGCAGTCAGTCCTTCACAGAAACAGCCTGAGCATTGTGGGTAACCTGCAGCCTCCAGCTGTCACAAAAACCACTTGTGAAGCTGATAATCGCAGGGCAAGTTCACATGCTGACATCCATCCCCAAACGTATTCTCAATATCCAGCAAAGAGATGGCATTGCCCCTGTCCTGAACGACCAAGCACCTGCAGTCCAGTTGTGGCTCAGTCAGCAAAGGTCCCCAGCTCTGCTGGAAGAGGCTTCTGGTATCTGACTGCTCACAAGCACAAAGGAAAACTCACACACAGGTCCTGGTTTGGGCATTTTCAGCAAGCTGAGGTTTATTCCTTTACAACTGTGCAGCAGTCTGACTGAGGAGAGCCAGCACCACTGGCAAAACATGGACTGAATTTAATCCTTAAGCCTGTTGACCATTTGTTAGTTTGTAAGTCACTAATTCTGACTGTAATTTGCTTAGAGCTGTAGCAGAGTTAGTTTATAAATGTTGGATTGCAGAATGGGAATGATTTTCGATACCTGAACGGCCTAATTGTGGAGCTGAGCAGTGAGCTCTGAAAAGCTCATCACCAAAGGAGGTCCTGCTCCCTCCCACCTGGCTCCTGATCAAGCCAGAAGTTTTCCAAGCAGCCAGTGAAGCTGTTCCAGCTCCAAGCACTTGCAGACAAGGGCCATGGGTGCTGTGGGAGAAGCTGAGAGGTAAAATGCCTGCAAGGCCTAAGAGATTTAGGAGAAGGAAGCACCTTCTCAAAGCAGGTATCTGACTGACATTGCAGAGCTATTAATAGAGTGTTCAGTCAAGCTTTGTTGGGCTTGTTTTGATCTTCCCTTTGAATGTGCAAGCTCAATTACATCCTGAGACAGCCGTTAGGAAAAAAAAATCAGGAAAAATGCTTTTGCTTTCATCTTTTGCTTGGGAAGGCTTCCTTTGACACATGGGGCTGCTGTGCCGTGTGCTGGCGTTCCCTTCCCAGAGAGGCACGCTGCTCCTTGGCCTCCTGCCACCATCTGTGTGTGCAAATGATGCAGGGTGAGTCTTGCTATTGAGATCTTAGAGAATATTTGCCCTTGGCTTGTTGATACATAGCAGAGTGCATGTAGGAGCAAAAGATAGTGGAGTGTTACTCTTTCCGTGCCTCGTATTTTCATCTTGAACAGAGAGGGCTTTTCTCTCTTTACTTTGCCTGGATGGGAAGGTTGTTTTACCTGGTGAATAGGCTGGATGTTCACCCCTGTGAGTGGTCTGGAACACCCCTTGTCTGTCCATGTTCTCTGCTAGCTTCTTTCATGAGACCCTTTTCCTTCCTAGGTTTCAAACCTACATGAGAAACTTGCCAGAGTCTCCTCCCAGTGCAGCATTCACGAATCCTCCATGCAGAAGAACCCTTCCCTTCCTAAACAAGGGCACTTTGATGCAGAACTGTCTGTCTCCCCCAAAAGGAACAGTCTTTCAAGGACACACAAAGAGAAAAGCACTTTCCATTTGCTTAGCACAACAAACCAGACTAACAAGGCAGCTGAGGAACAGACCCAGATGCCTACTCGCCTCTTCAGTTTAGCCAAACCAAAGGAGAAGAAGGAAAAGAAGAAAAAGGGCAGGGGACATCGCTCCCAGCAGTCTGGTGAGTGTCAGGGGAGCTCACAGGTGTTTTTTCAGGGTTGGTAAGCTGGCTGTTTTCCTGCAGCCAGTGAACTTGTGGAAGCCACAGAATCTGGCTGGAAATGAGGATGGTGACACAGGGATGGGGAAGAGCAGCTGTGCTGAGTGGATTTCTCAGCATGAAATGATTTTCCGTGGGTGTTTCTGCCTGTTCTGCGGCCCCTGGGGTTGTCAGAGGGACACACATTCTTCTCATTGTTTCTTCCCTTCCCATCCCATCCTGAGCAGCCTCCATGGGCTGGATTCTCTGCTTCAAGGAGAAAATACCCTGCTTCAGTGTCAGTGCTTTCAGAAGGAGCTGCTGCTGGGATGCTCCTGGCTCTTGCAGCTCCTGAGGCATTGATGTCTGTGTTAGCTCTGTGGCAGTGTGGAAATGATACCCACAAGCCTTCTGCTGGCCTCTCCCCTCAAGCTGGTCTGTTTTGTCTCTTGATCTGAAACAAAAACATACAGGGTTTTTGGTTTTTTTTTTTTTTTTGGCCTGATAGTTTTGCATCCCCTTAGGACTCAAAGCTGCACCTCAAACCTCTGACCCACATGAAATTTGATCACATGCCCTCGGATGACCAGTTTCATTCATGCTAGCTCACTGATGTTTTCCAGCTCCTTGTGCACAGGAAATCTCACCCATTACAAGGTGTAATTTCACGGTAGCTCATCAGGGAACTGAACATCTTTTAAGGGGCCTGGTGGATTTGGCAGACAGTGGGGTTTCTGTGCACATGGAGCCCTGCTCTGCCTGCTGTGTCCCTCTGTTCCCATAGTGATTCCCACATGCTGTTTTTACAGATTCTCACTCGTCAGAAGCACCTGCAGAGGGTGAGGAGATCTTCTGCTGAGCATGGACTGTTCCAGTGGTGGCACTGGCACCGTGGACATCTCCCTGCCTGTGACACAGCACGCGGCTGGTGCCTGCACTGGACGAGCATCTGGAGGTTTTAAATAAAAAAAGAAAGTTCTGAAGTCTGCTAAGTGGTGGATAAGGGCCTCTCTCCTGTTGTTTTAGGTGAATTCTCCCTGCAGAGGCTGTGCCTGCACAGCACACAGGACCATCTCCCTGTGCAAACCTGGGGTAAAACGGATTGGGATAGATGTTGTCTGTCTCTTCTTATTGCTAAAGGATGAGAGAACATAGCCTTAAGGGGTCTGTGCCTTCAAATTCCCCTTTTCTGGGGAAAAGAACCAAAATCAAGCATTTAGCAAAAGATTAGGACTCTACAAATGGTGCGTACACACTGGCATATATAGATATACTGTATATGTACATATATGTATCTATGTATCCACTGGGATATGCTTACAGTCCCTACAGCCAAGGTCCACCCATGGGGATGGATGATACCTGAGGGCTTTCAGGGAGTGTGTAGATATTAAATATCTTGCCCTTACTGCTCCGACTGTAACACAGTGACCTGCACACCCCTTTTGTGCTCATGGGACAGGGGATGTTTGGTTTCAGAAGGGTACATTACACCAGGAGGCAGTAACAGCATTCAGAAACAGCAACTCAGAGGATAAAAATTAAAATTTAAAATCATTCTGAACGATTTCTGTGGGACAGAGGAATCAAATGTCAAACTGTTTCTAGAGTCGAGTAGAACATTATTGGGTAGATTTGAAATGGCGCAGAAAAGAGAATTTTGGTAGGCTGGTAAGGCAATCCCAGGGAGCCAGAACAGACTGTTCAAATGGAAACAACAGTAAGCAACATTTTTAACACAATCTCTTCAAGCTCCAGCTCACTCCCTCCCATCCCTGAAGTAAAGATTATGTTTTTGCCAGATCTCTCCAGTTGCATTTGACATCCCCGTACAAGGCTAATGACTGAGTGGGGGGGGTGGCTAAAAATCTGCTTTTAGGGATCTTTGTTCTGTTCTTTGTGTTTTTCTTAGCCTGCTTCTTGTGCTGCTGTTGGGCTTCTGTTTGTCTGGGTTTTCTCACTTGCCCTGCTGGTTTCTGAGGCAGAGTGAGAGCAGCAGTGTCTGAGCAGGTCCGTGAGACAGGGCAGGCTCCAGGGAGATGGCTCCTGGCCCTATGGCTGTGCAATACCAGGCACTGAGGAACCATTTCTGGGTAGAAGAAGGTTCTGATGGACAAAGCCCCTGTGGGACAGGTCTGGGGGCCAGTGTGGTGTGTCCCCATGGCCTCTGGGGCGGAGTGTCTGTGCAGAACAGGAAGGTCCAAGGGCAGCTCTTGCTGTGCCAGCTGTGGGGTGTCTGTAGAGTTGGGGAATACAGGCATGTGTTCAGTGGGGGAGGAGAAATGCAACAAGACATATTTTTCTCAAAAATCACCTTTCTTCCAAACCCTGTCAGGAGAATTACCCCAGTGGATTTGTAAATGGTTACCAGCTTCAGGATAGGTCAAGGTTTTGCTCAAGAGTTTGAAGCTGTCAGGTACATTTCCTTTCCTACCAGTTGTTTTTTTCTTTGAAATAACAAATAATTTCTCTTCCTGTACTATTGTTTGATTTCAGTTTGCTCTCAGGCTTGTCATGAGCTGGTGACCCGCAGCAATTTTCAGAGTTAGTGCTGATGAGTATCAGCAGCATTGATGGTGAGATGGATGCTTGGGCTGGGCTGTCTTGGTGCAGGAACCCTGCTTGCTTTGGAAGCTCTCTACACTATTAAAACTCAAAAGAAAAAGAGGAAAAAAAATAGAAAGGAAAAAGGGTTGAGATTTATTTTTATTTTGTTTTTTTTTTTTTAACTATTATTTGGTGCTTGTTCTTAATTGCAAGCAGGGCTTGCAAAAATATTTATCTTTCATTTTATCTGAAAGAGTTTTTTTAAAAAAGTTTACTTGGTTTTTATTTTTTTATTTCTTTTTACTTTTGCTTTTGTTTGGGGAATAGTTTGAGGGTTTTTTTCTCTTCCCCCCCCCTTTATTTTTTTTGTTTGTTTATTTGTTTTGTTTTCTTACCAAAAGATTGGTAACCAAATGTTCTCATCTCCCTGTTTCCTACAAACCATGGGGTTGGGCAGTGCTGCTTGGCACTCATTCCATGCCCAAAGTCACACAATTTTCAGCTGAGAGCTTTCTTCAAGGCAGAGCATCTTCAGGCCAAAAAAAGTCTGGAAAAAGACAACAATGACTTCAGGCAAGGCTTCTCCTGTCAGTCAGTTTCCATGTTTAAACATTTTGGTTAGGTTTTCTCATTCCCTTTGGAGGCAAAGGAAAAAGCAAAGCATGGAGTGCCTTGCAGTGATGTGAGGCTCTAGTTGCTCTCCAGGACCCAAGGGGTGCTGAAGGAGGCATGTGCTGGTGGTGTGGTGTTACCTTTTTCATGAGAAAACCACCAACTTCAGAAAGTGACTCTGCCCTCTTGTTCATACATCTGCAAACACGAATGGGCCAAGCTGAAATTTCTGGAAACCAAAGCAGTGCATGGCTCATGTGCTGTTGTGTGAGCAGAGATCAGGGCACTGGTACCTCTGAGTTCCCTCAGTCTGGAACAGCCTTTGCCACTATGAACTTTTCAGTTTATCCCTCTGTCTTTTCCCCAGCCCCAGCACATGCTATCAGCACAGCACAGCCGTGTCCCTTGGCTCTGGGAAGGGCACCAAAAGGCAGATGAGGGAGCCAGGGCAGCAGGGTTGAGTCTGCCTGGCTTCGCCATCTCTCCTGACCTGTGCAAATCAAAAAGAGCATTCAGTGCCTCAAGTGCAAATGCTATTGTCTAAGTGATCTCCCAAGGTCCCTGTGGTTCCTTGACAGAAACCACAGGTGTGAGTGAGAAATACACTGACCAGAAATCCTGTGTACCAAGCTGTTTGTGTCTTAAATGCTGGTGGACAGCCCTTTGTCCCTGGAGGATGTCTGTTTCTCTATGATTCACTTTTTTGGAATGAAGCCTCTCCTCCCACACTGCTTCCTCCTTCTTTCACCTTTAGGAAGGTAAGGGCTTGTTTTTATCTCTTTAGCCTTTTATTTTTCCCATCTCAGGTTTTCTTTGGAAAGCCTTGGCATAGGTTCCCAGAGTCAGACTCCTGCTCTGATCCCTGAAGGTTGTCTAGCATTGTCTGCTAGAGTATTGCCCCAGCTTGGCGGCACCAAAACCTTTCCTCTTCCTGGTCTTAAAATTGCATTTGCTCCAGTTCCATGCCTGGCATCCATCCTGCAGCTGTTGAAAGCATGTTATTTCTTCACCCAGCCTGCTGCCAGTCCCTGGATCCCATTTGGAGCACCCAAACCACCCTGTTTTGCATGGGGTTCCTGGGACTCAGAGTAGGGTTCAAAAACACCTCTTTGAAGCCCGTGTTGTTGGAGGCGAGGAGGATCCTGTGAGGGCTCTTGGAGCTGTTTGTGCTGGTGTTTCTTGGAGGGCAGAAATCAGAATTGGTTTTTTTGGGCTTTTCTTGTCCTGGTCTTTGCCACTGCCCAACAGGAAGGGTTTCAGTGTCCAGGGAGAGTGAGAGTGTGGGCTCAGACAGGGACAGGAGTGGCCAGTATTAGCTGGGGGTGCCAGGATACCCAGCAGCAGAGAGCAGCTGTAGCAAAGGGTGGGAGACTCGATGCGGCTGTGTGGGCTTGGCCTTAGATTCTTTTAAATTAAGTGATCATCTCAACATGTAACTTGATGTCAGTTTGATGCCATAAAGCACTTTAAATGGAACTGGTCTTGCCCCTTTTAATTATGCTTATTTGGAGACAATCAGTTTTGCCATTGCTTCCCCCTCTGTATCCCCAGCAAAATCAGAGCTTCAAGTAGGCGTGTTCCTGGTTTGGTTTGGCTTTTCCCCCAGAGGGGAGGAAGGACCAAGCTTTTTGAATTACTTTTAGACCAAAGTGGGTGTGAACCTGTCTAATCTGGAGTCCCACTGCAGATAGGTTAAGTGGCAGGACAAGAGAACTGGCTTCTGTTGGCTCAGGTACATCCCCCAGGAGAGCTTCACCATCAGCTTCCTCAGGGCAGGTAGGGAAGCAGCCCCCAGTGGTTTTCCCTCCATGTCCTTTTCCTTGGAGAAACTCAGAGTGAAGGAGATGTGAGGGGATGCACCCAAACAAGTGAGGCCCTTTCCATGCACCAAGGTGTTTACTGTCCAGCACCAGGTGTTTACTGGGACAGGAGCTGTCATCCCCACTGAGGGTGGGCTCGTCCCTCTGGAGGTGTGGCAGCACAGTAATGCCATCAGCTCGTGTGGATTTGCATCCAGAGAGTCCAATCACCTTTGCACCTTCCTTGAGTCACTAGGAGACATCCCAGCTGTTGCTGAAACACCCACTTCCAGTCCTTCCACATGCCACCTAGTCAGAAGAGGTTCTTCAGGTGCCAAATCCCAAGGAAGCTGTCTAGGTTATCTATGGCATGGAGCAAGGGAGTGCTGGGCAGGGGACACAGGAGAGTATCTGCTAAAATCCCACAAAACATTCCTTGTTAACCAGAACTCTGGAAATTATTGTGCCTGCTGGCCAGGTCTGGAAATTTATCATGATTTAGGGCACCCCTTTAAATAAAAAACCTCCCCTGCTGCTCATAACTCTTGCCTCGTTTGTCAGAAGGGGCAGCAATCCACAATTCTTCATTGGTGATACAGCTAATTTTTAAATATAGGCGAGCTGAACTGGCTGCATCTCCTACATGTCATGGGAAGTGTAACACCAGCTCCATTCCCACCTGCATTTCCAGGGCTCTGTGCCCTTTCCTTCCACATGCATTTCACTGACACTGATGCTTTGCCCAAATATAGTTCAGCTTCTGTTGCTAGGGGGGAGGGGGGAACAGGATAACACTCACTGCTTTGCATACAGCTATGAGCTTTGTATGGATGTAAGCTGTCTATAGGTATCCATCCTTTCCATGCTGTAAAGTAATGCTACTATTTTCTTTATCAATATTAAACACTGCCTCAAGAAAAAAATGAAATAAAAATCCGGTTCAGTTCGCCTATGGTTAAAGTTTAGCCTGGTGTTTATTTTGTACTAATATGGAATGCACTTGAGTAATTTCCAGAACCTTGAGGTGT